CAGAGGTGCTGAGACATCCTAGGAAGCTGTGTTGGGTGATATTGGGGCTTAGGGTTCTTAGCCAGGGAAGCAGGCAGAAGCCAGGCCATGCTCAGTTGTTGAGCTGAGAGCTGTGGGGAGCCATGGAAAAATCTTTTCTTTTTCAATCCTCACCCGAGGACTTTTTTTTTTTTTTTCAGATAGAGTGGGAGAGAGAGAGAAACATTGACGTGAAAGGGACGCACAGAGTGGCTGCCTCCCACACTACCCCAACCAGGGCCGAGGATGAATCGCAACCGAGGTACGTGCCCTGGACCATAATCAAACCTGTGACTCATTGGTCGTTGGGCCGACACTCTAACCGCTGAACCAAACTGGCCAGGGCCCATGGAAGAATCTTAACTAGGGGAAATACACAATCCAATTAGCATCTAAGAAAGATTGCACTGACTTTGTGGAAGATGGGTTTTTGGGGAGACCAGGAAGGAGCCTAAGGCAGAGAAGTCTTTGTGAAAAGTGTTGAGAGTCTACTCTAGGGAATTAGTGACTGTTAGTGGTGGTGGTGGTGGGAATGGCATCAGGCGATAGGCCGGTGGAGTCAGATGGGACCTGGGTTCAGCAACCTCAGTACTTGAGCTCTGGCTAGGAAAGAATTCAGGTGGTTCTGAGTGATGGTTCTTCTGTAGGTTAGTTGCAGTTTTTATGTAGCTAGGAAAGAATTCAGAGCCCAGACTCAAACTATAAGTGAACATTTATTTATAAGATCACAGAGGTAGAAGAAGTAATTTGTAGAAGAAATTGACTTAGAAAACAAGTTATAGAAGTAAAGGAAGGGCCCTTGAAGCTTAGAAGTGAGGAAGTTAAAGGAGACACATGTGGGGAGATGGGGAGGGGGTGAGGAAGGGAAAGGCACGGGGGTGCTAAGCCCCCCACCCCAGGGTCAGAGTTGCAGCAAAACCTCCAACCCTTCAGAACTATACCAGCTTAGTTGAGGGGTATATCAGCAGGGCTCACGAACAACTAAAGACTAAAGCCCTGTCCATGTGTCCAAGACAGAATTTTCTGCCAGTTCAGAGGAAAAGAGCTCAGAGACCAATTGCTGTTGATTTAACAAAAATTTCTTGCACCACAGCCTATGGCTTGATTCATAACCACTGGACAATATCTAGGGCACATTGAGGTATGCTTGGAAGGTAACCCAGGGGACTGGTGGGGAAGGAGGGCAGGCAAGAAGTCTAGGACAGGCGATTCCCAAAGGGCTGAGCACAGAGCTGGCAATGACTAGGCTAGAAATTGGAACAAGGGGGAGAGCTTTGAGAGGGCTTAGGTGTTCCTTGCAAACCCACTGAGGGGTGCTAGAGTCCTACTCAGCTTTTGGCTGAATGCAAAGACTTCTTTAAAAAATTTTTTAAAAATCCTCACCCGAGGATATTTTTCCATTGATTTTTAGAGAGAGTGGAAGGGAGGGAGGAAGGAAAAGACAGAGAGAGAGAGAGAGAGAGAGAGAGAGAGAGAGAGAGAGAGAGAAACATGGATGTGAGAAAGATACATCGATTGGTTGCCTCCCACACAACCCCAACCGGGGCTAGGGATTGAACCTGCAACCCAGGTACATGCCCTTGACCATAATTGAACCCTCAACCCTTCAGCCCATGGGCCAATGCTCCAACTGCTGAGCCAAACGGGCCAAATGGATTTTTTGGCCAAAGACTTTGTTTAAATACCCCAGCTTTGGAAAAAGGAGAAACATCTGTACCAAAAATAAATAAATAAAAATCATGAGAAAATAAATAAAATACCCCAGGTTTTTGGTCAGTGTCCCCAGAACTACCCCCATCACCATCACCACTACTAACCTACAAGGTATGTCTGTGCAAGTAGAAAAAGACACCCCTGTAGGCCCAGACAGACACAACCAGGGCTCAGAGTAGAACCAGGAGGGATTTCATCCCCCACTCAGCCCTCTGCCAGGATTTGCTACCTAAATTACAGTGGTTTCTTCCTGAGTTCAGCCTGATCAGCTGAACCCATCTGTGCTGGGTTTACTGGAAGAGGTGAGGTGTGGGAGACCATTTGCATGGCATCCATCTTGTTAAAGTCTGCTCTGCTGTCTCCGGCCCCAGGACGGGGGTCTCTCTGAATATAGTGTCTGCATTCCTCTAGATAATTGTTTTCTCCATTCTTTGCTTATCATTTGTTCCACCTGAGGTATTTACTGGAATTTGCTTCAGATGGGATACTCATTAACTGTTTCACCTGTTTTCCCCCTATATATTATGTGAACTCCCCCTGAATAAACGAGACTTGATCAGAATCCTGTCTTGTCTCCATTTCTCGTGTCTCTTGTCCCTCCTCATCCTCACTCCCCCTCTGGAGTCCTTGTTGATCGACCTGCGGGCCGGGTCAGTGAGGCAAAGAAATCTGAATGGTTAGGGCTTTGCCTCCTTAAGTGTAAACCAGTCCTTCTTTTTCAAATTGCTAATAGCATTTATTTCACTTTGGCAGTTGTAATCTCCAGAAAATCCCCGTCACTCTTAGAGAAAAGCATGTTGCATAAAAACTGTAAGAGGCAAGCATTCTTTGTGGTTTTGCTGTAGCCCTTTCAGGCCTTTCACCTCAGGAGTCATATGGAAAAAACACCTTGGCAACAAAGCCCTGGGGAGTGTGGGAAACAGCCCTCAAGTGCTTATGACCTTTGCCCATTCTTAGCCTCAGAGCCTCTGGGAAATCAGGCTGCTGCTGTGGTTGGCCTGGGGTTCAAGTCCACAAAGGGCTTAGTCCAAGAAGGTCAAGAATGGGACCACAGTAGAAATCCATCATGTTGACATCTAGTCCAGTCTCTCTAAAGCAGTGGTTCTCAACCTTTCTAATGCTGCCACCCTTTAATACAGTTCCTCATGTTGTATGTGGACGTATCTGCATGTGGGCGGACCTGCCTGGAGACGATAGAGGAGCGGTGTCTCTGTTCCTAAGACTATCAGAAATATGTGACCCCCAATGGGGTCGCGACCCACAGGTTGAGAACCACTGGACTAGTGGACGAAAAGAAGAAAGAGAGATTAATATGAGAGACACATTGCAAAGGATGGGGATCAAACCTGCAATCCAGCTACATGCCCTTGACCAGGAATCGAACTCAAGCCCCTTTGGTGTGCAGGCCGACACTATCCACTGAGCCACACTGGCCAGGGCTGGGTCCATATTCTTTTTTTTTTTTTTAATCCTCATCCGAGGACATTTTTCCATTTTTTTGTACAGACAGAGTGGGAGGGAGAGAGAGGAAGAGAGAGAGAGGGAAACATCGATGTGAAAGGGACACATCGAGTGGCTGCCACCCGCACGACCGACCAGGGCCGGGGACAAACTGCAACAGAGGTACATGCCCTTAGCGGGAACCGAACCCGGGTCTCTCCGGACCGCAGGCGGACGCTCTAACCGTTGAGCCAAACCGGCCAGGGCTGGGTCTATATTCTTTATGTCAGTTGTTGCTATTTACTATTGTGCTTGTGTGGTTGTTTTCCTTACTGTGGAGAAAAAACAAAAAAATTTCCCTTCTCGCCCTGGCCGGTTTGGCTCAGCGGTTAGAGCGTCGGCCTGCGGTCCTGAGAGACCCGGGTTCGGTTCCCGCTAAGGGCACGAACCTCGGTTGCAGTTTGTCCCCGGCCCTGGTCGGTCGTGCGGGTGGCAGCCACTCGATGTGTTCCTTTCACATCGATGTTTCTCTCTCTCTGTTCCTCTCTCTCCCTCCCACTCTACCTGAACAAAAAATGGAAAAAATGTCCTCGGGTGAGGATGAAAAAAAAAAAAATTTTTCCTTCTGTTATCCAACCCACTACATTTACATTTTTTCTGTGTAAACCCAGTTGTCATTTGAGTTTGTTTAGGATGTTCAAGAATTCATGGTAGTAACTGCACTGGTTGACAAAAATCAGGCTTTTGGGGCTTGAATGCAGGCTTTCTCTCTGTGCCTCAGTTTTCTAATCTGTAAAATGGGGACAATAGTGTACCAACCTCACAGGATTTAGTTAATAAATGTAAACTGCTTAAGACAGTGCCTGATGTTTTACTAAAATAAAATAAAATAATCCAGGAGCCCAGGGACCATGTCTACCTTATTTGCCATTGAATCCCAGTGGCCAGCACAGAGTTTGGAACAAAAGAGGAATCAATAAATATTTTTAATAAATAAATGGGAGGGAGATGTTTAACAACCTACAAGTGTTGAGAGCAGGGAACCGTTAGACAGACAAGCTCCTCTCTCTGTAGGAGAAAGAGAGTATATTTAGAATAGTTGAAGCAACCCAGGATGCAGAGCTGGATTAGGACTAGGGTGAGGACACGTGTGGGGAGCACAATCCTCATATTTTACGGAAGGCCATCCTGGGGAAAAGTGTAGATTTCTTATAGCTTCACTGGAGAGAATCGGGAACAGGGCGTGGCAATACAAGAAGGGAACTGGGCTCTCTATGTTAAAGATTTAGCAATCCCACAGGTGTTGCGACACTAGTACTGAGTTTCCCCGAACGCGCAAACCCCAGGCGACCGCGGGGTGGAGACTCCCAAGTAGGAATTCTATAGCGCTGTAGATTAAGACTTCGTGTGATTGGTGAAAATTTGGCGGGAACGGAGCGGGGCGGGGGGACGCTGCGCCAAACAAAGGAAGTGACGTCAGGTGTCGCTTATTGATGGGGGTGGGATCATATGGTCCAACATCTCGCGGGTCCTTGCTTTCGCTTGCGCAGCGTGTTTGCCCTTAGTAAAGGTGGCGGTAGAGGCTTCCGGCCCTACATGGTGTAGTGTGCGCGTCTTCAGGAGCATGGCCACTAAAGACAGGAAAAAGCGTAGAAGTCGCGAGCATTGATTGGCTGAAGCGAGAAGCGTTCTGGACACTGATTGGCTCCGCCATTCGCGGGAAGGCGTTTGTGGCGCCAGTGAGAAGTAGAGAGTGCTGCGACCGCAACAAGGTTCTGAGGCGTCGGGTGAAGCCAGCGGACCGGAACCTTTTGGGCGTCTTTCCTGAGGGAATAGTGACCGAGATGTGGAATAGTAATGATAAATGGGGCGAAGGATGAGAATCGCTGAATTTAGCAGAGAGGGCGGGGATCGGAGAGGCGTGTGGCGGCGGGAGGGGGTGGGGCGGGAGCCGGAGATTGGGCGTTTGGGGGCCGGGGACGGGTGGTAGGGAAGATTAGGTAGGTGCTGGGAGTGTTGGGGTTCGGGGAGTGAAGTCTGAGGGGACCTGTGGACTTTTCAGAAGCTTGGAGATCAGCTCCGATACTAATACTGTTGTTCATTTAAAACCAGGTGGATTTGAAAGCTATAGCAGCTCCACCTTTGGGGGTGCCGGTGGCTACACACAGTCCCCGGGGGGCTTTGGATCGCCAGGACCATCCCAAGCTGAAAGGAAATCAGTAGGTCGAAGGAGTGTTTCGTCTCGTTTTATCTGTCCTGAAGCTCGTAACTTATCCATGTGAGAAAATTTACGCAACGAAGGAAGGGTGTAAAATATAAACTGACTCGATAACGATCAATTATTATCTTACCGAATATTAAGTTTGAAAAAAGGAATCTCCCAACATTTTGCATCTACTGTTTCAGTGGCTTTATTTTGAAAAGTATTAATGTAGCCTCTATCTTGTGGGAAAATTGAACTTGTGTTAATAGCCTAATTTACGTTCTTTATGTAGTCAAACGCACTTTTTAATTAAACACAGTGAGGTGGTATAATGTGGAGGGAAGAGCATGTCTTTGTAGTTAAGTAGATCTGTTCTCTAACACTACTTGCAGAGATTAGTATCACTGAACAAATTTCTTAATAATACATGCCTTACAAGGTTGTTGTGAGACTTCATGTGTATGAAGTCCCTGCCCCATAGTCACTTTCAACAAATGGTCCTGAGTATTATTTATTTTTATTTTTTCCAGACAGAGTAGGAAGGAGAGAGAGAGAAAAACTTTGATGTGAGAGAGACATATCGTTTGGTTGCCACCTGCACTGCCCTAACCAGGGCCAGGGACGAACTGCAAACTGAGGTATTTGCCCTTGGCTGGGATCGAACCTGGGACTCCCTGGTCTGGAAGCCAGCGCTCTAACCGCTGAGCCAAACCATCCAGAGCCCTGAGTATTATTTAAAAGACCTGAGCATTGTAGCCATAATATATAGTGTCCAAAACCAATTTTGCCTTCTAACTGGCAGGATGAGTTTATTTTTTAATCCTCACCTGAGGAAATGTTTATTGATTTTAGAGAGGAAGGGAGAAAGAGAGATATCAATTGGTTGTTCCTCCGAACCCGCAACCCAGATACGTGCCCTGCTTGGAATCAAGCATATGTGACCTTTCAGTGTACAAAATGACGCTCCAACCAACTGAGCCACACCAGCCAGGGAAAACTGGCTGTATGAGTTTATTTATATATGTGTGTATATATATATTTTTTCTTTATTGATTTTAGAGAGCGATGAAGGGAGAGGGAGAGAGAGATAGAAACATCAATGAGCCCTGGCCGGTTTGGCTCAGCAGTTAGAGCGACGGCCTGCGGTCCAGAGAGGCCCAAGTTCGGTTCCCGCTAAGGGCACATACCTTAGTTGCAGTTTTTCCCTGGCCCTGGTTGGTTGTGCGGGTGGCAGCCACTTGATGTGTCCCTTTCACGTCGATGTTTCTCTCTCTCTCTTTCCCCTTCCCACTCTGTCTGGACAAAAAATGGAAAGATGTCCTCGGGTGAGAATAAAAAAAAAGAAACATTGATGAAAGAGAACACTGATTGGCCACCTCCTGCATGCCCCCCACTGGGGATTTAGCCCACAATCTGGGCTTGTGCCCTGACTGGGAATTGAACCTGTGACCTCTTGGTGCATGAGTCGATGCTCAACACTGAGCCACACCAGCCGGGCGTATGAGTTTAGTGTAGCAACTTGAACTCATGGTTTTAGTAGCCCTTGTTTTTTTTTTCTGATAATGATACTAGTACAAATAAGCTAATGTATAAGGAAGACATCTCTAAAAAGCTGTCCCAAGTGCTTGTTAATTACTCTTTCAGAAAAAGAGTTTGTATTTAACAGCTGTCAATTTTGTCCTTTAAATATGGGGTTAATTTGGCCTCTCTTTAGGCATCATTCAGATGTGGTGTTAAGATTCAGGATTAGCAGGTTCTGTGTTTTGTGAACAGGTTGATAAGCTATCACCCAAACTGTTGATTCTGGGGTGGGTGTTGGTGGGGAAGAATTCATTGATAATTCTCATACATTTGGACATTGCTTTATATTTTTCATATAACTTTTATTTCATATAATCCTATAAGGGATTAATTGCTTACTCCATTGTACAACAGAGGCTCAGGGAGATTAAGGGACTCTCTAAGCTTACACTGTAAGTAAATGGAACCAGCCAGAACATATATGATGCTAAGCAAGTCCAAAATCTGGTAAACAGCTTCTTCTTTCTCTTATATATAGTTTTCTTTTTCCCCGGGGAAGACCAGAGGGGACTCTAGTTCTCTAATTTTGTCTTCTTTGAGGCTGTGAAGGTGAAAAGAGAAGATAGAAAATTGGTTCTCATCTTTTTTTCTTAAATTGTAACTATTTTTCTTCATTCCAGTTGTTAGAATTTTTATCTCAGGATCCCTAGCTTAGGCTGTGTATTAAGACAGCTTTTCAGCCTGGCTGGCGTGGTTTAGTGGTTGAGCGTTGATCTATTCACCAAGAGGTCAATTCCCAGTAAGGGCACATGCCCAGATGTGGGCCAAATCCCCAGTCTGGGGCATGCAGGAGGTGGCCAGTCTATGTTCTCTCTCATTGAAGTTTTTAGCTCTCTCTTTCCTTCTCCCTTCCTCTCTCTATAAAATCGATAAAGGAAAAAACTTTTTTTTTTTTTTTTTTTAATCCTCACCTGAGGACATTTTTCCATTTTTTGTTCAGGTAGAGTGGGAGGGAGAGAGGAACAGAGAGAGAGAGAGAAACATCGATGTGAAAGGAACACATCGAGTGGCTACCACCCGCACAACCGACCAGGGCCGGGGACTAACTGCAACCGAGGTACATGCCCTTAGCAGGAACCAAACCCGGGTCTCTCAGGACCGCAGGCCGACGCTCTAACCGCTGAGCCAAACCGGCCAGGGCGGAAAAAACATTGTTTAAAAAATAAGTAAAAAAAGACAGCTTTTCAGAGAATGATGATGTTTATAAGTTGGACGCTCAAACCTAGGTCTTTTTTTTTTTTTAATTTTATTTTTATCCTTACCCGAGGACATTTTTGCATTTATCTTCGGATAGAGCGGGAGGAGAGAGAGAGAGAAACATTGATGCCAGAGAGACACATCGAGTAGTTGCCACCCACACAACCCCAACTGGGGCTGGGGCCAAGCTGCAACCGAGGTACGTGCCCTTAGAGGGAACCAAACCTGGGTCACTCTGGTCTGCAGGCTGACACTCTTAACCACTGAACCAAACTGTCCAGGGCTCAAACCTAGGTTTTTTGTGTGTATAATCTAGTGCCTTTTCCACAGTAAGTTATTTAAATATTTTCTATCTGCTATAAACCTGTTAGATTTGATTGAACCATGTGAAATTTCCAATGTTTTACCTATAAAAATGGTGGTTCATATAGCACTTAAGAATATCCTGTGGTTCATAGACAGCTAGAAGATAATTTTTTCAAAATTAAACATATTTGTGCTGCTATACTCTCTGAATCTCTTTGGAATGAATCAGGAACTCTTTGCTGTCAGTTTCTGGAACATAATAGATGCTTGTTAAAAAACAAACCATAGCCCTGGCCAGTTTGGCTCAGCAGTTAGAGCGTCAGCCTGTGGTCCAGAGAGACTTGGGTTCGGTTCCCGCTAGGGGCGCATACGTTGGTTGCAATTTGTTCCCGGCCCTGGTTAGGTTGTGCGGGTAGCAGCCGCTCAATGTGTCCCTTTCACGTCAATGTTTCTTTCTCTTCTTCTCTCTCCCTCCCACTCTATCTGAACAAAAAATGGAAAAATGTCCTCAGGTGAGGATAAAACACAAAACAAAAACCATAACTGAGTTGAGATGAATTTGAAGGTATTTCTAACACCTCAGCAATTACCCATACATAATTTTTTTACCTGAGAAATGATAATATTGAACCTACGTAGAGATTGGTATTATCACATTTATATATGTTATATGTTTCATTTACAGTTTGAAAAATAAATGTCCTCATTTTACAAAAGAGGTGGGGGTGTGTCTAGGGCTATAGAATTGGGATTTGAACACAGGTCTATAGCACTGTCTGGCTCCAAAGCCCATGTTCTTGCTGCTGTTACCATAGTGGTTCTTATTTTTCTTGTCCAGCAGATACAATAAAACTCTGTTTTGATAGGTGAAAACAAAATGTGGATTTTGAGAGCTAAATCTGGGACCTCAGCAAATTTTAAATCTGTAAATATTAATGTAGAAATAACTTCACCCATACAATACCTTAAAGTAAAATTGAAAAAATATAGTTGATTCCTTCACATCCTTATTAAAAGCTTTTGCATATATAAAGAGTGAGGCCCTGGCCGGTTTGGCTCAGTGGTTAGAGTGTCGGCCTGTGGTCCAGAGAGACCCAAGTTCAGTTCCCGCTAAGGGCGCGCACCTCAGTTGCAGTTTGTCCCCGGCCCTGGTTGGTCGTGGCAGCCACTCGATATGTGCCTTTCACATCGATGTTTCTCTCTCTCTCTACCTCTGTCTGCCTCCCACTCTATCTGAACAAAAAATGGAAAAATGTTCTGGGTGGGGATAAAAAAAAAAAAAAAACTACCTCTTTTGCCCTGCCCGGTTTGGCTCAGCAGTTAGAGCGTCGGCCTGCGGTCCGGAGAGACCCCGGTTCAGTTCCCTCTAAGGGCACGTACTTCAGTTGCAGTTTGTCCCCGGCCCTGGTTGGTCGTGCGGATGGCAGCCATTCGATGTGTCCCTTCACGTCGATGTTTCTCTCTCTCTCCCTTCCTCTCTCTCCCTCCCACTCTATCTGTACAAAAAATGGAAAAATATCCTCGGGTGAGGATAAAAAAATAAATAAATAAATAAATAAAGAGTGAGAAACAATAGCTGATATAATAATGCTAACATTTATTGAGTGTGTATGATGTACTACTTGGTGTTCTAGTTACTTCACCATATATTTAATTTTCATTACGATATTATCATTTCTAGTTTTATAGATGAGGAAACTGAGGTACAGATGAGTTGAGAAATGTTAACAAAAGCACACTGCTCCTGAGTAGTAGCCATTATCTTAACCTTCAAGTGCTGCCTTTTTGTGGCATGTGTTCTGGTAGTTGGCTGGGCTTATTTTCTACCACCCTGTCAATATTCAGCATTCAAAATTATGCTTCAGCAAAGTGAAATGGTGCTAGTGTCATGAACCTTCAGGGCAAAGCTGCAGCTGCTAAATCCATGAAGGCCAACAGTTTACTATGTTCGGTCCTAGTTGTAACAGTTATCAGGTTGCTTCCTATTGATTTCTGACAGGAAGAAATCTAAGCTTGAATCCACCATGCTTTTTCTGTTTTGTTTATTCCTGTAAGAGTCTGTGGGAGTGCATTTGGCCTAAGCCTGTAATGCTCATTCCTCAGCCACTATTTTTTCCTTGTCAAAATATTTGTGCTTCGGTTCAGTCTAAAATGCTCCCTTTTCTCGAAGTCACTAGTAAGTTTTTCTGCTATTCCACATAGCGCATCTTATTCTGTATTATATCAAGATCAAGTTTATTATTTATATTTTTACCTCCCCTAGATTTAGAGTTTGTTGAAGGCAAACTGTACTCATCTTTATGTCATCAAGACAACCCCTGGCAAGTAGTAGGCAAAAAATAAGAGTTTCCACTATTGTTAGACTGCTTCAGGATGTGATTTGAGTATCCTTACTAGTCACTCTTCTGTCCATCACATCCTGTCCCTTTTTTTTTTTTTTTTTTTAACCTCACCCGAGGACATTTTTCCATTTTTTGTTCAGGTAGAATGGGAGGGAGAGAGAGGAACAGAGAGAGAGAGAGAAACATCGACGTGAAAGGAACACATCGAGTGGCTGCCACCCGCACGACCGACCAGGGCCAGGGACAAACTGTAACTGAGGTACGTGCCCTTAGCGGGAACCGAACCCGGGTCTCTCTGGACCGCAGGCCGACGCTCTAACCGCTGAGCCAAACCGGCCAGGGCCATCACATCCTGTCCCTTTTTTTAAGATGCCTAGTGGGGCGAAGCTCTTATTCCATTTTCCCCAGGACATCCGATTGTCAGAACATCTTTTTTTTTTATCCTCACCCAAGGATATTTTTGCATTTATCTTCAGATAGAACGGGAGAGAGAGAGAAACATCGACATGAGAGAGAGACATCGAGTGATTGCCACCCACACAACCCCAGCTGGGGCCGGGACAAACTGCAGCCGAGGTACATGCCCTTAGCAGAAATTGAACCCGGACTCACTGGTCCGTGGGCCGATGCTATAACCGCTGAGCTAAACTGGCAAGGGCCAGAACATTTATCTTAAAATGTCATACCTCTAACTTTTTGTTACATTTTTTTAGAGCAAGTTCAGAGTTCTTTCTCCACTGGCCATTTCTCAAACCCTTTGTAAATACCATCTCATCTCATCAGTGATGAAGAGGTAGCTCCAGCTTGCCTTCAGCCTAAAGCTGGAGTTTTCTCTTAAAGGTCTGTTCAAGAAGCAGGGCATTCCTTATGCTGTCTCCATTCTAGTCTACTCATTTTGGTGAATCTCTAGTACAGAGGTGGGGAACCTTTCTTCTGCCAAGGGCCATTTGGACAATTATAACATCATTTGCGGGCCATGCAAAATTATCAACTTAAAAATTAACCTGCTGTATTTGGTCAAACATTTTATTAACTCACCCCTAATGCAATGGCTGGAACTGCTTCTCTTTGGTGAGGCGTGTGATGTTAGGAGGTATTGATTGCTCAGGCCTTATGTAGCCCAAGGGTTGGACGTTCCCCACCCCTACTCTAGTGCAACACAAACTTGCCCATTCATCAGGAGCTTTGGTATCAAACAAGCCTGGGTTTGAACTCCAAAGTGTGGCATTTGTTAGCAATATGACCTTGGTTTCCATCTGGAGCAAGGATAATGAAGTTTGTTTTTAAAGATTCAATGTTATAATATATGCAAAGTGCTTGGAACATGTAGCAGGTGTTAAATGAGTGGTCGTTATTATTTCTATTGAATTTAGGCATACTCTTCTTTCAGAGAGCCCGAGCCCAGCACATTGTACCCTGTACCATATCTCAGCTGCTTTCTGCCAGTCTGGTTGATGAAGTGTTCAGAATTGGAAATGTTGAGATTTCACAGGTATGAAGAATAAAATAAAAATCACTTTATTTAAAAAAACGTAAATGTTACTTTGGTTTCAGAGAAAGCCAAACCTTTTTTTTCTTCTGATCTAGGTCACTATTGTGGGGATAATTAGACATGCAGAGAAGGCTCCAACCAACATTGTTTACAAAATAGATGACATGACAGCTGCACCCATGGATGTTCGCCAGTGGGTTGACACAGATGTAAGCTGTTTTGAATCAGGGTGGGGTTACTTTGGGACTTTGGAGATGTTGGACTTCTTTAGGCTTTTTAAAGGTTTTTATAAAAACAATACAGAAGACATCAAAGGCAAATCCTTAAAATGAAAGGTTAATATATTTGATTTCATCAGAGTTTAAAACCTTTTAAAATTTTCCAAAATACTATAAATAAATTTATTTATTATTATTTTTCAGATAGAGTAGGAGGGGGAGAGAGAGAAAGACAAAGACAGAGACATTGATGAGAAAGGGACACATCAAGTGGCTGCCTCCTGCATGACCCCAACCAGGGCTGGGGAACGAATCGCAACCGAGATACATGCCCTTGACTGGAATCAAACCCGCAACTCATTAGTTCGTGGGCCAACACTCTAACCACTGAGCAAAACTGGCCAGGGCACTATAAACAAATTTTAAAAGCCAGTAACAGGAGGCACTAGAATGTAAACTCTGAAAACAAGGATTTTTATGTTCGCACTGTATCCCCAGCACCTAGAACAGTGCTAGTTACATGGTGGGCCCTGAGTATTATTTAAATAAATGGGAAAAATTTTTTGTAACATATTACAAACATTTAACTTTTTTTTTTTTTTTTTTTTATCCTCACCCGAGGACATTTTTTTATTTTTTGTTCAGATAGAGTGGGAGGGAGAGAGAGGAAGAGAGAGAGAAACATCGACGTGAAAGGGACACATCGAGTGGCTGCCTCCTGCACGTACAACCCAACCAGGGCCGGGGACAAACTGCAACCAAGGTACGTGCCCTTAGCGGAAACCAAACCCGGGTCTCTCTGGACCGCAGGCCGACGCTCTAACTGCTGAGCCAAACCGGTCAGGGCACATTTAACATTTTTAATAATAAAAGCTCATACAACCTGGTCGGTGTAACTCATTCGATTGAGCACTGTCCCATGGACTGTGAGGTCCCAGTTTGATTCCTGATCAGGGTACATAACCAAGTTTCTGGCTCAATCCCCAGTCGGGGGCGTGCAGGAGGCAGCCAATCGATGTTTCTCCCTCACTTTGATATTTATCTCTCCCTTCCTCTCTCTCTAGAAAATCAGTAAAAACTTTTGGTTTTGTTTTTTTGAAAAAGCTCTGGCTGGTTTGGCTCAGTGGTAGAGTGTTGGCCTGTGGACCAATGACTCGCAGGTTCGATTCCAGCCAAGGGCATGTACCTCGGTTGCGATTTGTCCCTGGCCCTGGTCAGGGTCATGGGGGAGGACAACCAGATGATGTATCTCTCTTACATCAGTGTTTCTCTCTCTGTCTTCCTTTCTCTCCCTCCCACTCTATCTTAAGATAAATAGAAAAATATCCTCAGGTGATGATTAAAAAATAATAAATTAAAATAAAAAAAAATATTAAATAAAAAATAGCTCTTACAAAGCAGGAAAAAGCAACTGCATTTTAGAGAAATGGGCAAAGAAGATGCACAGATAATGCATTACAGATGAAATATTGCTAACAACAATAACAAGCAGGTTTAATAAACATTAAGATGCCGTTTTTAACTTACTAAATTAGCAAAGAAAAAGAACGGCATTGCCCACTTCTGATGAGAGCAGTAGCTAGCACAGTGCCTCTAGCACTTAGTAAGCACTTGATTTGTTAATGATTTGTCACTATTTGTGTGGAGAAGTGGATACCATCCTACTCTGATGCTGTATAAGTACAACTTGATGTAGCCTTTCTCAAAAATCATCTGATGATCAAAATCATCCTTCATAAAATTGCTGACTGTATGCTTCAGTGCTAGAGGTTTACATTAAGGAAATGATGAAATACATGTGCAATGATTCAATAAGAATGTTGTTCATAGCATTATTTACAATAAAAAAAATTAGAAGCAATCTCAAAATGCTAGCGATAAGGTATTAATTAAATCATGGTATATTTATAAAATATTCCAAGTAATGTAGAATGTATGTATTATCACAAAGAAGTGTTTACCATAAATTGTTGAGAGGAAAAGAATATGTTACAAGATAGTATTCATGGTATGACCCTATTTTTGCAAAGAACCATGTATATGGGGAAAACAGATTGAAAGAAAATACATGCTTTTTATCCTTTGTTGTTGTTAATCCTCACCTGAGGATTTTTTTTTTTTTTTTTTTTTTTAGAGAGCGTGGAAGGGAGGGGGAGGGAGAGAGAGAGAGAGAGAGACACACACATAGATTAGTTGCCTCCCGCACAACCCCAACTGGGCCAGGGATTGAACTTGCAACCAGGTACGTGCCCTTGATCAGGAATCAAACCCGAGACCCTTTGGTCTGAACACCAACACTAACTGCTGAGCCAAACCAGCCAGGGCTATCCTTTTAATTTTTTAATTGGGCAGAAGACCTCTTGTTTTATGTTGTTATTTATTTATTTTTTTATCCTCACCCGAGGACATTTTTTCCATTTTTAGTTCAGATAGAGTGGGAGGGGGAGAGAGAGAAACATCGATGTGAAAGGGACACATTGAGTGGCTGCCACCTGCACGACCCAACCAGGGCTGGGGACAAACTGCAACCGAGGTATGTGCCCTTAGCGGGAACCAAACCCAGGTCTCTCTGGACCGCAACCGACACTCTGACCCCTGAGCCAAACCGGCCAGGGCTGTTTCATGTTGTTTTTAAAACACATTATAGATCAAACAGAATAAAATAGATGAAAATGTTTAAAAAAATACATTATAGAAAATTGGTATAATAAACACTTTGTATTCTATATTCACTTAAAAAACCGCAAGTCATCTATGGAGAAATAACTTGGTAGTTATTTATTTTTTGCTTTCAGAAAAGTACAGGATAATTTATTCACTAGTTATTGGAATACATATTCTAAACCACACTGCTTCTAGGTATACAAAGGTTGAAAAAGATAGTCCCTAATGTCAGGGAGGTAGATACTAAAGATACCTAATACTACAGATTCATACACAGTGTACCATGCTTATTTGAAAAACATTTTAAAATCGCCTGAAATCTCACATCCCAAGATGACTGCTGTTATCACTCATTTTGTTAAATACCTTTCAGACATTTCCCTCTGCATATCTGTACATATAATAGATGTATGCATACAGTTTTATATAAAGGATGATATGATATGCAACTGCTCTGTAATCTGCTTTTTTCATTCAAAACTGTGTTGTGGAACTGATTTCTTAATAGATTTACATTATCATTTTTAGCAACTGCCTATTCCATCATAAGGATATATCATCTCTTACTTAACAGTAGACCCAGTCAGGGAATATTTAGCTTGTTTCCAATTATTTGCTATTGTAGACAGGTGCCCCAAAGAATACCTTTCTGTACATCTCTTCATAATTATAAGGTAATCTCCTTAAGATGCATTCTTAAAACCAGATTTTCTGAAGAAATATGTATTTTACATTTTTTACTTTTAAAAGAAAATCTTACATTTATATTTTTACATGTTTGTTGTGTTTTCTCTTGCATAAAGGTACCAACTTCTATATTTCATTAGTGCATGAAAATGCCCAGTTAGCTCTTCACACCCTTTCTAACAGTGGGTTTTATGAATCTTAAATTTTTGTTGGATAGTTTAAAAAAACAATCTTTTCTTTTTCTTTTTTATCCTCACCCGAAGACATTTTTTTCCATTTTTTGCACAGATAGAGTGGGAGGGAGAGAGAGGAAGAGAGAGAGAGAGAAACATCGACGTGAAAGGGACACATCGAGTGGCTGCCACCCGCACGACCAACCAGGGTCGGGGAAAAACTGCAACTGAGGTTCATGCCCTCAGCGGGAACCGAACCCGGGTCTCTCCGGACCGCAGGCCGATGCTCCAACCGCTGAGCCAAACCGGTCAGGGCTAAAAAAACAGTCTTTTCAATGAGAATTTTCTCATGTTTTACTTGGGTTTTTTTTGTGTGTGTGTGTGAGATTAGATTTATTAAAATTATATTTAATATTAATTTTGGTATTTTATCTGGTATAGATTCAGCTATATAAAATAATAGGTGAGTAGAATGAGATGCAGAAAATAGTTGCCAATCACCAAGTGATAAGAATTGGAGTGCTGCCCTGGCCGGTTTGGCTCAGTGTATAGAGTGTTGGCCTGCGGTTCAGAGAGACACGGGTTCAGTTCCCGCTAAGGGCACGAACCTCAGTTGCAGTTTGTCCCCGGCCCTGGTTGGTCATGCAGGTGGCAGCCACTCGATGTGTCCCTTTCACATCGATGTGTCTCTCCCCCCCCCCCCCCCGCCACTCTATCTGAACAAAAAAAAAGGAAAAATGTCCTCGGATGGGGATAAAAAAAAGAATTGGCGTGCTTCTTATTTTTAAAGATATATTTTATTTTCTGTTTTTTTTTATAGTCATATATTTTATAATCAGAGAAATCTGTAAGATTCAGCTTATATATTTTTCTTATAAATGATGTGTACATATTCTAGAAAACCCCAATTATACCAGTTAACCATTGTTAACATTATGGTGTATATTCTCACCCACATGGGAAATAAACTTTTTACTGTGTCACAACTGTCCTTCCCAATTAATAGAATTCTACATTGTATGAATGTGTGTTTGTTGTTGGATATTTAGGTTGTTTAAAATTTTTTAGTACTGTAATCTATGCTATGATGAATATTAGTAAAGCTAAATCTTAATACATGTTCTTAACTATATCTTCTAATTCCTAAAAGTAGAATTGCCATGTCATTAAGTATATCCACTGTCCACCAGAAAGTTGTGTGCCTAAGAGCATTGAATGAGAGTGCCATCATTGTTTGCTTTTTTATGATGTGTATAACATAGAACTTTGGAACTGGAAGTTACCTTTAGAGATTTTTATTCTAATTCCTGATGTTACAAAAAAGTAAATCTTAAAAGGCAGGGCAAACTAGTTAGTGCCATGTTAGGATCCTGTGTCTCTCTCACTTTATAATTTTCTGTTTCTGTACCGAATTTAGAGATTTTAAAGAGGCTTTCACCAACATCACTAAAACCTTAGTAGTAATATGTTTATATTTTATCTGTTAGGATGCCAGTGGGGAAAACACTGTGGTTCCTCCAGAAACATATGTGAAAGTGGCTGGCCATCTGAGATCTTTTCAGGTGAAGTCAGAAAAAAATGACTGTTAAAATGTATTTGCATGGGCCCTGGGTGGGTAGTTTAGTTGGTTAGAGTGTTATCCTGATATGCCAAGGTTGTGGATTTGATCCCACATCAGGGCACATATAAGAATCAGCCAAAGATTCTCTCACTGTCCTCCCCCCCTTCCTCTTTTTGCTAAAATTAATATATAATAAAAAACATTTTTAATGTATTTGCATGAATAATAATTCTGGATTCATGCCTGCATTTGGGATATTTAAAACTTAACTAAATCAGCATGTTTAATGGACTTATATTACAGCTATTTTATTATTCTGTTCTTCAAAAGGAAATAATGGTTTTTTTACCTTAATATGAAACTAACAGAATGGTAGAGAAAGAACAGGATCGCTGCCTGCAATTGCCCTCTATGGCATCCATTTGGTGTAAATGGGCGGACACTGGATTTAGAGTGAAGATACTAGACTCTGCTTGGTTGTGTGACCTTGGGCAAGTCATTGAACCATCTCTGAGCTAGTTTAGGGTTTTTTTTTATTACATTTTATTGACTATATTTAGATTAACCTTGAGTTAAAAATCTTAAGTATAGAACACATTTCTCCCATATTAGCAAAATACTATAACCAAGAAGAGAGCCATACTGTTTTGACCTGAAATTGATTTGAATGTGCTTATCCGTTATTCACATTTTTCTCTTTAATAGAACAAAAAAAGCCTGGTGGCCTTTAAGATCATGCCCCTGGAGGATATGAATGAGTTCACGGCACATATTCTGGAAGTAGTGAATGCACATATGATGCTGACCAAAGCTAACACCCAGGTGAGCAGCTTCGCTCATAGTTTTCTTTTCCCCATGATTATAGACGGCCTCTGTGCTCTGGCTTTGATTAACTTGACATTTTGAAGGTTGAGCCAGAATAAAGGTATCAATCAGTACTTAAAACATTCTTTCCATGAGATTTGCCATGTTATTTTATTCCGATGAAGCACTCATATTCCTCTGAGCCCACTTGCATGGATGGCTGGGACCTAAGATAGCCTTCAGGTGTAGACACATAATTATAGGCTGGGCTCTTAGCGCCAGGATTGTCAGTCCATATGCAGAGAAAAATCTCAACTAGGACAGCGTTTTGCTGCTTTCCTTCCATCCTACTGACTAAATAATAGTTATGCACCATTATTTAGTCCCTGAAATTGTATGTCTTGCTTCATAGTGAAATTGCTCAACATTATTTTCTGTTGTATGAATTCAATCTGGCGAGTCCATCTAGGATCACATAAAGGGTTTGTTGATTCTAGTATTAGAATGCCCTTAGATGATTCTGATGGCAAGATGGAGGATTGATTACAGAAAGAGAGACTGATGAGCCATTAAGGACGCTATTGCATCCTATTCTGTGCCAAACACTTTGTTAAGCACTGGGGATTCAGAGAATTTATTCCTTCATTTGAAAAATACTTACTAAGCTTAATATTTGCCACTCATTATTCTAGGCTCTTGGAATACAGCAGTTAACAAGATGGATAAAGTGTCTACCCTCAAACTTAAATTCTTGAGAGAAATGGGCAATAAATAAGAAATATATATAATTTTAGATAGTTATAGGTGTGCTGAAATAAAGCAGAGTAGGAAAAGAGAGTGATGGAGGGAATAAGAATGGTACAATTTAGATGGGGGAAGAACATTTCAAAGAGAGGGAATAGAGTCAGAAGCCATGAGCCTGGAATAAGCTTGGCATGTCTGAGACCAGCAAGAAGGCCAGAGTGTCTGAAGTGAAGCAGATGACGAGGAGAACAGTTGGATGTAGGCAAGGAAGCAGGACCCAGATCATATAGGACTTTGTAGGTCGTAATAAGGATTACTTTATTCTAATTGATTCCAAACCTTTAGAAGGTTCTGTTCAGGGAGTGAGGTGGTCTGATTGACCTTTTAAAAAGTTCACTTGGGCTGCTATATGGAGAATAGACTATGAGGCACCAAGAATAGCAACAGAAGTAGTTTAGGGAATGGTAACAGCAGCTGGAATAAGCAATCGGATTTTGATATCGTTGGAAGGTAGACCTGACAGGACTTACTGGAGGATTATATATAGGATATAAAGAAAAGGAAGGGTTCAAAAATGACTACTAGGTTTGGGCTTGAGCAACTAGGTGAAGCTAGCAAGTTTGGAGGGTCTAAAGTTCTGCTTTGGACTGACCAAGTAAGTATGAGATGCCTGTTAAATATCTAAATGGAGAAGAGAATGGATGGTTAAATGTATAAGGCCAAGACTCAAGGAAGAGGTCAGGGATAGAGATAGAACTTTGGGAGTCGTTATTGTATAGTGATATTTATGAATATGGATGAAATGATACAACTAGGGAGTTAAGAGGTCAGAGACCTGAGCTCTGGAACACTAACCTTTAGAAGTCTGAAAGCAGAATGGGAGCCAGTGAAAGGTGGAGTTGCCAGTTTGTCAGGGGGGAAACCAGAAAATGTGATTCTATAGAATATTCTGAAAAGAGTATTTTAAGAAGGAGGCTTTAGGCCTGGCCAGTTTGGCTCAGCAGTTAAAGTGTCAGCCCACAGACTGAAGGGTCGCAGGTTTGATCCTGGTCTAGGGCACGTACCTGTGTTGCAAGTTTGGTCTCCGGCCCCAGTCAGGGTTGTGCAGGAGACAGCCAATTGATGTGTCTCTCTCACATCGATGTTTCTCTCTCTCTCTCTACCTCCCTTTCTCCTACTCTCTCTAAAAATCAATGGAAAAATATCCTTGGGTGAGGATTAACCAAAAAAAAAAAAAAACGGAGGGAGTAGAGAGATCAATTGTAGAACTTTACCTAGAAGTCAGGTAAGGTGATGGGAGGTGAATGTCAAATTTGGAAACATGGATCTTCAAAAGGAAGGCCTCAATAGAGGATAGGGACAAAGTATGTTAGAGAATGGGGTTGGGTAGAAAGTTTTAGGTTATTTTCTTTCTTTTTAATTCTCACCCATGGATTTTTTTGTCTGTTTGTTTTTTCATTTATCTTCAAATAGAGTGGGGGAGAAGGGGAGAGAGAGAGAGAGAGACATCAATTGGTTGCCTCCTGCATGATCCCGACCAGGTTCAGGAACCTAACTGTAACCAAGGCATGTGCCCTCGACTGAAATCAAACCTGCAACTCTGTGGTCCGCAGGCTGACGCTCTAACCACTGAGCCAAACCGGCGAGGCCTCAGGTATTTATTTTATCCTATATGTCATAACATACAGGGTGGGACAAAAGTAGGCTTACAGTTGTTCATATGGAAAATAAAATAATACAAGAATAAACTATGTTCATGTACCCACAACTGTAAACCTACTTTTGTGCTTCTATGTGTCTTTTTTTTTTTTTTATCCTCACCCGAGTACATTTTTCCATTTTTTTGTTCAGATAGAGTAGGAGGGAGAGAGAGGAAGAGAGAGAGAGAAAAACATCGACGTGAAAGGGACACATCGAGTGGCTGCCACCCGCTCGACCAACCAGGGCCAGGGACAAACTGCAACCGAGGTATATGCCCTTAGCGAGAACGAATCCGGGTCTCTCTGGACCGCAGGCCGATGCTCTAACCGCTGAGCCAAACCGGCCAGGGCTCTATGTGTCTCTCTCACATCAATGTTTCTCTCTCTCTTCCTCCTTCTCTCCCTCCCACTCTGTATCTCAAGATAAAATGCAAAAATGTCCTTGGGTGAAAATTAAAAAAATTTGTTTTTCATAAAGGAAGAATGGGTAGTAGGGATTAAAAACTGGGATCATAGGCAATTATATTGAGGAGTAAATAAACAATCATTTTCCTCAAGGAATTGCATTGAGCATTGGGGATTCAGAGCACTTAAGCAGTGGTAAGTGGCAAGTGTAGGGTACCACGGGACCAGAGAAGGGTTTCCTATCCTGACTTCCCATCAAGAAAGGCTCCCTATCCCTGGCTGGTGTGGCTCAGTGGTTAGAGCGTCAGCCTGCAGTCCAGAGAGACCCGAGTTCAGTTCCCGCTAAGGGCACATAACCTCGGTTGCAGTTTGTCCCCGGCCCTGATTGGGTCGTGCGGGTGGCAGCCACTCGATATGTCCCTTTCACATCGATGTTTCTCTCTCTCTCTCTCTTCCTCTCTCTCCCACTCTATCTGAACAAAAAATGGGAAAATGTCCTTGGGTGGAGATAAAAAAAAAAAAAAGAAAGGCTCCCTAGAGAGAAGGTTATGCCTAAACCAAGTCTTAAAAGATTCATGAGGTGGGACCACTTGAAGCAGAACATGCGGTCATTTCAGCAAAGGTAGCTAGCTGGGAAATAGCTTTCAGTTCATTATTACTGGATCATAAAATGTAAGGCTTCTATTTCACTAGCAGGCAATATAAAGTTGTCTAGCTTGAAATCAAAGGACCATACTGACTCTTGGTGTTTTGTTTTGTTTTTGTTTTTTTCTTTATTAATTTGAGAGAGAGAGGATGGGAAAGGGAGAGAGAGAGAAACATCGATTGGCTGCCTCCTGCATGCCCCCCACTGGGGATTTGGCCCACAACCTGGCCATGTGCCCTCACCAGGAATCAAACCAGCAACCTCTTGGTGCATGGGTCAATGCTCAACCACTGAACTACACTGGCCAGGCTGACTCTTGGTTTTTTGTTTTGTTTTTAACTCAAAGCAATAGACATCTAATGAGCATTTATTGAATGAGTGAATCTTCTGACTAGAGGGGTTTCTCCTAATGAGCTTCCACAGTGCTCCTGTATCCTTGTTATGGGTACTTAACATTTGTTACTGTCATCCTTACTTAGTTCAATAGATTAAACATAGACTGAGCACATACTGTCCCCCAGGCACTGTGCAGAGATGAAGGGGCTTGTGGGGGAAACAGCATGCAAACTGTGAAGGCTGCTGTGAGGGAGAATGGGCCAGGCCAGCGCGTGTGGCTCAGTGGTTGAGCATGACCCATGCACCAAGAGGTTGCTGGTTTGATTCCCTGTCAGGGCACATGCCCAGGTTTTGGGCCCAGTCCCCACTGGGGGTGTGCAGGAGGCAGCTAATCCTCTCTCTCTATAATCAATAAAGAAAAAATATTGTAAAAAAAGAATGGGCCAAATGCTATGAGAGACAAGAAGGAAGACCATGACTTGACTTGGGTAATGTCAATGAAGTGTTTACCAGGCAGACAAGGAGAGGAGCATTTCAGACAGGAAACCACATGTTTGGGGGGTGTCAAAGGCATGTTTGTAGATGGCAAGAAGTTCAAGTGCACTTGCAGGGTGATAAAGTGTGCTGAAAAGGAGTGATCAAGAATAAAATACATCCCTCACCGCAGAGGGCTCATCGGTTCCCATGCAGAAACTGCGTGATGCTGCAATGGCCAATGGTTCATTCTGTCCTGACCACGAGGCGTACGCCAGGTCTTAGTTCGCTTGCCTCTGCGCGGAGATGGGGATGTCAAACAGGCTGGGAGGGAGGGGAACGTGGGTGCAGGTGGAGGAGGTAGGGAAAAGGAGGAATGCCTGGGCCTTTTTTTGCCCAGTTAGCGGGCATCCCACTCACATGGCTACACTCAATGAAGTTCATATTATTCTCGCACAAGCTAGGGAGTTAGAGTAGGCAGTCTCCGGGATCCTTATCAGCCCTTGCAGCTAAGATATCTGAATCTTCACACTGCTGCTCCTTATCCCTGCCCACTACTCTGTGGGCCCCAGGAAAGCAGGGATCTCTGTTCATCTTCAGCACTTAGAACAGCCAGGTGAATAAGGTGTGCTTAGCAAATACTCAGCCCTTCATTGAAATCAGTCAACTAGAATTTTTGTTCCAGTTTTGCCACAAGCTTCCATTTTTGTCACTTCCAATTCATTTCCAGCAGAGGAGGTAGAGCTTTTAAAATAAGTTTGCTTATGCCCTGGCTGGTGTTCTCAGTGGTTAGAGTAGGCCCACAGACCAAGGGTTGCTCGTTCAATTTCGGGTCAAGGGCATGTACCTGGGTTGCAGGCTCAATCCCTGGCCCTAGTCGGGTCATGCAGAAGGCAGCCAGTCCATGTGTCTCTCTCTCCCCCTCCCTTCCTTCCTTCCACTCTGTCTTTAAAAAAAATCAATGGAAGAATATCTTTGGGTGAGAATTAACAACAACAACAAAATGTCTGCTTATAAGTCACTCCTGGATTCCTGTATTTAAAATAAAATCCAGCCTGGCTGGTGTGGCACCAAGAGGTCACCAGTTTGATTCCCAGTCAGGGCACATGCCCAGGTTGTGGGCCCGATCCCCAGTGGGGGGCATGCAGGAGGTGGCCAGTTGATGTTCTCTCTCATCAATGTTTCTATTGCTTTTTCCCTCTCACTTCCTCTCTCTAAAATCAATAAAGAAAAATTATTTAAAAAATAAAATAAAACCCAAAGGCTTACATTACATTATCTGGCTGCCACCTACTTGGTTTCATCTTGTATTACTTGACCTCAGTTACTATACTTTGGCTTTTCTGTTCCTCAAGGTCATGGTGGATATAGTAGTTCCCCACTTATCTGAGTTTTCACCTTTCTTCTTTCAGTTATCTACTGTTAACCACAGTCTGACAGTTGATCTGATAACCAAGACACCTATTAATTGATTAATAGGCAGGTAGCATATATAGCATGAATATTAATTTATATTAAAAATAGCACAAGAAAAAAAAATACAGACTTTGACTCTAGTTGTGGTAGGTTTTGAATGTCCAATAAGAGTTTTATATTGTTTTTATAGGCGGGGGGGGGGGGGGGGGGTGGCACTTGGAAGCTTTTAGGCAGAGGAGCAGCATGACCAGAAGTGATTACTTGGTAGCAATGAGGAGGGTTGATTGGAGTAGGAGAGACTTGCAGCTGAGATACCAATCAGGAGACCTAGGGTGTTGAGGATTTAATTGAGCAACACTGAAGAATGTATTAACAGACTGTGGTGAGGGTTTTGGAAGGTGAGCGAATGGATGGTTAGGTTTGGGTTTACTCATTCAGATGCAATATAGTAGGCAAGCAGGTTTGGGGAGGAAGGGAATGAATTTTATTTTGAAATGTGAGATATGTAGTATCTAGTAAAAGGCTGAGAATAAGGATTTGTACCTAGGAGGAGGTCTGGAGTGAAATCCTGGGGGAACTGTCAGTCTTTTGGGAGACAGGTAGAAGAAGGGGTTGATAAGAGAAATTGAGAAGGTGTAGTTTGAGGTAAGTGAAGAACCAGAAGAATATTAGGTATCAAGAAGCCCAGGGAGAAACTGAAAAAGAGACTTTTTTTAAAAAGCAGCAGCCCTGGCCGGTTTGGCTTAGCAGTGGACCACTGACCCATGGACCAAAGAGTTGTGGGTTCGATTCTGGTCGAGGGCACATACCTTAATTGCAGTTTGTCCCCGGCCCCGGTCGGGGTTGTGTGGGAGGCAACCAGTCGATGTATCCCTCTTACATCAGTGTTTCTTTCTCCCTCTCTCTCCCTCCCACTGTGTCTGAAGGTAAATGGAAAAGTATCCTTGGGTGAGGATTTAAAAAAAAAAAAAGGCAGCTGCTGCAGGCAGCCTAGGGAGGAGTACATTGCAAGAGAATTGTGCTCAGCAGTTTTTCCTTCTGAGAGGTCAAGTATTGTGAGGACTTAAAGACTATTGGGGCCCTGGCCAGTTTGGTTCAGCGGTTAGAGCGTCGGCCTGCGGTCCTGAGAGACCCGGATTCGGTTCCCGCTAAGGGCGCGTACCTCGGTTGCAGTTTGTCCCCAGCCCTGGTCGGTTGTGCGGGTGGCAGCCACTCGATGTGTTCCTTTCACATCGATGTTTCTCTCTCTCTGTGTTCCTCTCTCACCCTCCCACTCTACCTGAACAAAAAATGGAAAGAAAAAAAAAAGACTATTGGGTATATTGGTTTAAAAATCTTTGGTAAGCCCTGGCCGGTTTGGCTCAGTGGTTAGAGCGTCGGCCTGCGGTCCTGAGAGACCCGGGTTGGGTTCCCTCTAAGGGCGCGTACCTTGGTTGCAGTTTGTCCCCGGCCCTGGTCGGTTGTGCGGGTGGCAGCCACTCGATGTGTTCCTTTCACATCGATGTTTCTCTCTCTCTCTCTGTTCCTCTCTCTCTCTCCCACTCTACCTGAACAAAAAATGGAAAAATGTCCTCTGGTGAGGATAAAAAAAAAAAAAAAAAATCTTTGGTAAGAACATTTTCTGAATTGTATTGGGGAGAATCCAAATAGTGGGAGGTTGAGGAGTGACTAAGGAGAAGGGAAATGGAAACAGTGATTATAGTCTATTTTTTTTAAATTTGGTTGTAAAAGAGAGGTTGATAGAAGCTATTCTCCTTTTTTTCCCCCTTTAACGCCTCATGCCTAGTTGACACTCAGTGAATGCTTGAGTGATTCAACACCAAGGATATCATTATAGGAATCTTCTGGGTAACTGTCTTCTCAGTACTAGTTTTCCTCTCATTCCCCTCCTGTCACAGAATAGAAGGAGCCAAGAGGTACTTTTTCCTCTGTTTGATATGATGTGCTTTACCTTCCTTTGAAATATTCATCAGAAAATACCTCTCCCTTCCAGTGTAAATACTTGTTATTGGGAAAACTCTGCCTAAGTTGTTTTTTGTAAGCTACTTATTAATAAGCTCTTTAAAATAGCAAGGACTGTTTTTAAATTGGTGAATTTTGTAATGTTATGAACTTATTTCTTAATTCAGCCCTCAGCAGGGAGAGCGCCTGTCAGCAATCCAGGAATGGGTGAAGCAGGGAACTTCGGTGGGAATAGCCTCATACCGTCAAATGGCCTCACTGTGGCCCAAAACCAGGTAAACTCACTTGAGTGGCTCTGGAAATGCAAAACTTAGGCAGTCCTAAATTTTGTTATTTCCTTAATGATCCTGAGGCTAAATACCCAACTTTTTTCCTTCGTATAAGGGCACTTACGTTTTTAAAGGGGGACTGATTCAAAGTACTTGCTAAAATCTTTCTGATTTGAATGTTCAGGTGCTGAATTTGATTAAGGCTTGCCCACGACCTGAAGGATTGAACTTTCATGATCTCAAGAACCAGCTTCAACACATGCCTGTAGCCTCAATCAAGTGAGTATTTGGTTTCTATGATCTAGGGCTCCAGAATTATACACATATCATCTCATTAGTTTCCTGATAATGAGAAATGAGTCTTAAAAAACTGTGTCTTGCGCCCTGGCCGGTTTGGCTCAGCGGTTGGAGCATCGGCCTGCGGTACAGAGAGACCCGGGTTCGGTTCCCGCTAAGGGCACGTACCTCGGTTGCAGTTTGTCCACGGCCCTGGTTGGTCGTGTGGGTGGCAGCCACTCGATGTGTCCCTTCACATCAATGTTTCTCTCTCTCTCTTCCTCTCTCTCCCTCCCGCTCTATCTGAACAAAAAATAGAAAAATGTCCTCAGGTGAGGATAAAAAAAAAAACAAAAAACAAAATTGTCTGTTGGACTGAAGCCTGTTGACAGAAGGGAATTTATTTGGTCACGGAAAAATAGAAAAGAACTCACAAAGATGTTGCTACCTGTCACATCACTCATTTGTTTATTCTAAAAATACTGAACACCAGCCCTGGCCGGTTTGGCTCAGCGGTTAGAGCGTCAGCCTGTGGTCCACAGAGACCTGGGTTCGGTTCCCGCTAAGGGCACATACCTTGGCTGCAGTTTGTCCCCGGCCCTGGTTGGGTCGTGTGGGTGGCGGCCACTCGATGTGTCCCTTTCACATCGATGTTTCTCGCTCTTCCTCTCTCTCCTTCCCGCTCTATCTGAGTAAAAAATGGAAAAATGTCCTCGGATGAGGATAAAAAATAAATAAATAAATAATAAAAATACTGAACACCATTATGTACTAGAGATATAATTTTGAGCAAAAGTTGACCTGATACTTGTGTATTTAATGTGGAGGAATGAGTTACTTAGCTCCTGGTCCTCAAGTGTACATTCACATTTGTGTTACCATCTCCACTGTGGAGGTGTGTACATTGGGCTATCTGGACCTGAAACCGTTAGTCCTTCCAACATCCTTGTCCGGATAACATGTTAGACAACAGCTTCCTCATTCTAGTAAACTGATCAAACAAACAAACATGATGCTTGTGATAGTTGTTACCAAAGATCACTATGGTAGGCCTACATAGAAAAGAAATACTCAGCCCTGGCCGGTTTGGCTCAGTGGTTAGAGTGTTAGCCTGCGGTCCACAGAGGCCTGGGTTCGGTTCCCACTAAGGGCATTTACTTTAGTTGCACTTGGTCCCCAGCCCTGGTTGGGTCGTAGGGGTGGCAGCCACTCAATGTTTCCCTTTTACAACGATGTTTCTTTCTCTCTCTCTTCCTCTCTCTCCCTCCCGCTCTATCTGAATAAAAAAGTGGAAAAATGTCCTTGGGTGAGAATAAAAAAAAGAAAAGAAATACTCAGGTCTAGCCCTGGCCGGTTTGGTTCAGCGGTTAGAGCGTCGGCCTGGGGTCCAGAGAGACCCGGGTTCGGTTCCCGCTAAGGGCACATACTTCGGTTGCAGTTTGTCCCCGGCCCTGGTTGGTCGTGTGGGTGGCAGCCACTCGATGTGTCCCTTCACGTCGATGTTTCTCTCTCTCTCTCCCTTCTTCTCTCTCTCTCCCACTCTATCTGTACAAAAAATGGAAAAATATCCTCGGGTGAGGATAAAAAAAGAAAAGAAAAAAGAAATACTCAGGTCTAATTCCATTTCTTATAAAATGAGGATAATAGTTTCTGTCTCAGAGTTACATGATAATGAGGTTCAGAATGGCTGTCGCATAGGTATTCTGTAAATTGTTACTGATATTAAGTATGTTACTGACACTGATCCTGAGGGCCTTGAAGGTTTGAAGGTCTCTTGCCATTTCTGGAAAGAACTTTCCTTTACTTCTTGCAACTTGGCTTCCCAGAGGTGTGAACTGGAGGTTCAGTGAGTGGGTGGAGAGGGCCAACTTAAAAAAAAATTGTTTTTTCTTTATTTTTTAGAGAGAGAGGAAGGGAGAAGGCGAGAGAGATAGAACATCGATTGGCTGCCTCCTGCACACCCCCACTGGGAATTGGGCCCACAACCTGGGCATGTATGTGCCCTGACCGGGAATTGAACTGGTGATCTCTTGGTGTAAGGGTCCACACTCAACCAGTGAGCCACACCGGCTGGGGAGAGGGCCAACTTTTAAAAATAGCTCTTTATACTAGATTAATGTGCAAGCTGGACAACAGCTTTAGATCCTTGATTTCCTCTGGTATTTAAGTGAGGCCTTATTTTCTTGCTTTTATATAGTTTGGGAGAGGGCTCCAAGGCAGCCCTCTCCCAATAGCCATTGTCTCTATGGATTACCTCATTTTTGCAATTTTACTGGCATCTCTCTCTGTAAGAGCTTTCTGTGAGCAAATGGCTGTGAATTCTTAGCTAAGATAAAATGTGGGGAGATAGTGAAGTTTACATATTTGGTGATATCAGAAAGGTAGGTAGTTCCCTTTCTTTACCCTTTCCTGTGTCTTTTTAAGGGTGACACAGAAGGGTAAAATCATTCTCCATAAAATCCAGAGAAGAGATGGTAAAACTCTGGATCCTACCTAGAGTCACAGCTGAAAAAACTTTTTTTAATATGGAAAAAAAAATTATTATTATTTTTTTGTGTGTGTGAAGAAAATGATTTTTTTTTTTCTTTCTAGGCAAGCTGTGGATTTTCTGAGCAATGAGGGACACATCTATTCCACCGTGGATGATGATCATTTTAAATCCACGGATGCAGAATAACTGGATCTAATTGGGTATTCAACATATTTTCCAGCTGGACCTATTTTCACAATCTGTTGTGTCTAGCTGTGCATATGTTTTGACCAGTTGACCTCTAGAAAGTAGGTTTCGTCTATAAAAGGTCTCAGTTGACATCCTTTTGAAACTTACTGATCTTCTGTTTTTGTTGAATCTCAAAGGGAGGCAGCTGACAGTGATATGTGAACCAAAGTGGTATTTCTTTAAAAGTTACAAATTAGGTAATTATAATAACATCTGGATAGATGGAAGTGGAAGAGGGATGCTACCAAGAGAGTTGGGCAATGTTATGTAAATAATACTCAGGATTCTCTGTTCTTAAAATATTGCCTGTTGAGAGAAGATGAGTACGACTGGGCCTTGTCAGCCAAGAAAGCCAGGGAACCTGCTAACTTCTGCCTGGTTTTGTTCCCCATTTTGGTTATGTGTTGTTACTTTCAGAATTGCACTTTTCTTCAACTTGTCATGACTACTGCCAAGTGTTTTTGTCAACATGAGGTTCTAGATTGGTGGCCTCATATGGCAGAGGAGAGGAAGAAATACTACCATGTTTTGTACAAAATAAGTACATTAATGTGTTTAATAATAAAATAGTTATATTATTGTACTAACTTGTGAAAACGTTCTTATTTTTCTTCTTGATATAATTTGCTGCCTTATCTGATAGTATAGCATAGCTTGATTTGGATTTGACATGTTGGCTCTCCTTTTTAGTTAGGATCTTGAGCAGTGTATGTGAGCTCTGAGAGCCTCCGTTTATGAAAAGACAACTGTTATTTCCTTATAAGATTGTTATGGAAATTGAATGAAATGAAATTTGTAAAGCATCTGGCATTGCCATTAATGAGGATTATAAAGCGGACCTTAATCTTCATTGTTGCAGTATATAATCATGTGACTGGTCAAATAGCTACCATGTCACCTCAAGATGAAACTCGAAGGCCTCGGCTGTTTTTTAGCCAACTTAATCAGCTCTTTTTCTTTTGGGAGCGGAAACTAGTTCAAAGATGCTTCTGGCAACTCTAGAAAGTAAGCTACTTCTTGAATGAAAGAACTAGTTACAAGGTAAGTTAATGAAACATAATATGCAAATAAAAACTCTGTAATTGTTTTAACTGTTTTCTAAATGAGATCTAGGAGCTGTGGAGAAGGCTCCACTGCCCTGGTTTGTAACACTGAACAACAATGTGGCTGTTTCTGTATATGCAAAGTAACTCCTATCTTGGGAACAGTGCAGATGTTTAAAAGTCAGTCAACCAGTATATGTCTGTTTCTTGATTGTTTCCTATAAAGGACAGTACATTTAAAAATCAGACATTTGAATTTGGAATGCATGACAGGATCCTTTTATGGGTAGTGGCCTTCTCTTTCTAGTTATCAGGCTAGTGTCCTCAAATGGGCAGGGCAATAACAGTGGTTCTGGATAGAAGTCTTTTTTTTTTTTTTTTTTAATCCTCACCCGAGGACATTTTTCCATTTTTTGTACAGATAGAGTGGGAGGGAGAGAGAGAGAGGGAGAGAGAGAGAAAGAGAAACATCGACATGAAAGGGACACATCGAGTGGCTGCCACCCACACGACCAACCAGGGCCGGGGACAGACTGCAACCGAGGTACATGCCCTTAGTGGAAACCGAACCCAGGTCTCTCTAGACCGCAGGCCGACACTAACCACTGAGCCAAACCGGCCAGGGCAGAAGTCTTCTTTTTCTTTGAACTTTGAATGAGAAGATTTAGCAATTAAAAACTGCTTTTTCATTAATTGAGCATTGAATACCTGTTGTATCAGCCCATTGATCAGGCACTAGGAATTTATTTTTTAAATCCTTAACCAAGGATATTTTTCCATTTATCTTCAGATACAGTGGGAGGGAGGGAGAGAGAGACATTGACGTGAGAGAGACCCATCAACTGGTTATCTTCTGCATGACCCCAACCAGGGCTGGGGACCAAGCTGCAACCAAGGTACATGCCCTAGACCAGTATTGAACCCTTTGGTCCACAGGGTGACTCTCTAACTGCTGAGCCAAACCGGCCAGGGCAGCACTGGGAATTTAATGCAAAATAAGAGAGCCTTGGCTGGTTTGGCTCAGCTGTTAGAGCGTTGGCCTGCGGAACAGAGAGTCCCAGGTTTGGTTCCCGCTGAGGGCACGTACCTCGGTTGCAGTTTGTGCCCGCCCTGGTTGGGGTCATGTGGGTGGCAACCAGTTGATGTGTCTCTCTCACATCAATGTTTCTCTCTCTCTCTCTCTCCCTCCCACTCTATCTGAAGATAAATGCAAAAAATGTCCTCAGGTGAGGATAAAAATAAATAAAGCAAAATAAGAGATTGGTGTCACAAGACTTGCTGGTTCAGCATTCCCAGTAGCACAGAGCAGCTGCTCAGTGGCACTGAATTCCCTGCCATCTTGGCATTTACATAGTCTCACAGAAGTTGTGTAGTTTCTGAACACTAGGGAGGCCTGTGTGGCTGAGCACAGGCAGCCCATTCCTCAGCAGAATGAAACTCCAGCCTTTGTAAAATATCTACCCTGCTTGAGCAGGAGGCATTTGCATTTCGGGTGTTTGTGGTCACCTGGGATGTATATAGTGTTCCGCTAGCACATGTTGAGACAACGTGAACAAGTTCCCTTGTGACCCAGGTTCTTAGAACCCCCCCAGGGACACAGCCCGCTCTCCAGAGAGTCTTTCTCTAGGTATACAAGTGGGAAATGAGGCTCCTTGAAAAATAGTAGTACTTTATTGGGTTTAACTAAAAAAAGGCCAATACGCCCTGGCCAGTTTGGATCAGCAGTTAGAGCATCGGCCTGCGGTCCAGAGAGACCCGGGTTCAGTTCCCGCTAAGGGCACATGCCTCGGTTGCAGTTTGTCCTTGGCCCTGGTCGGTCATGCGGGTGGCCGCCACTCGATGTGTTCCTTTCACATCAATGTTTCTCTCTCTCTGTTCCTCTCTCTCCCTCCCACTCTACCTGAACAAAAAATGGGAAAATGTCCTTGGGTGAGGATTAAAAAAAAAACAAGAAAAAGGCCAATACAAATTAGTGTCTGATGTGAATTAATTGATTTGTTTTTAAAAATGCAGTTGAAAGAAATTCAAACTCATTGGTAAGTATTTCTGGGCATATATACCCAGTTTACATTCATTTATTTAGCATTTACATCTGCTACTGTATTAGTATGTTTTTATTATAAAACATTCAAAATATAATGAAAAAGGATATTAAAAAAATGAAGGGCTATACTAATAACTTTTATGTATCCCAGTGGATCACCCTGTGTGCTCACTTTGGAAACCACTGCTCAGAGGGAATCCTTATCCCTATTAGAGCACCCTCCCCACCTCCCAGTGGCTTATTCCAGAGGTAAAGAAGACAAAAGCACCCTGAGGGTGGTGTCTGCCTTTGGTCCATTCTCTGTCAGCTCTCATTGCTCCGATCAGACATGCACAATTGTGGTTTTCAAACATGATTTCCTTTTTTTTTTTTTTTTTTTAATCCTCATCCGAGGACATTTTTCCATTTTTTGTACAGACAGAGTGGGAGAGAGAGAGAGAGGGAAACATCGATGTGAAAGGGACACATCGAGTGGTCGCCACCCGCACGACCAACCAGGGCCGGGGACAAACTGCAACCGAGGTACATGCCCTTAGCGGGAACCGAACCCGGGTCTCTCCGGACCGCAGGCGGACGCTCTAACCGCTGAGCCAAACCGGCCAGGGCAAACATGATTTCCTTTTAAGCCCAGTTTTTCCTGTTGTGAAATGTCTTCCTTTATCATTTGGCCACTCAGAAATCCCCTTTTGTAAGAACTGGCAGCCTTCTTCTCTGCCCTCACCCCTTTTGTGATCTTGGTCATTGTGTTGCCAAGATGAAATGCAAAGTGAAAACTATTGGTATTTGCATGTGGGCTTGGCCCCTAGCGGCTTTGTGCTATGGAGGAACTTTGTGCCTCACTTTCTCACTTATTGTCTCTTCCTCAGGGTCCTCCTGTGCTGTTTAGATTGTCATTCTGGAGGAGGACATGAGAACTTTTGGGGGTGGAAGGAGGGTGAAGTGCTAGAGACTTCACCTGGAAAACTCCATGCTGGAGTATGGAGGCCAGGAGGCCTGGAAGTGCAGTGGTACTTCCTAACAGGCCTAACAGCCCAAAGGGATGACAGACTCAGATGTAGTGCCTAGAATCCAGGAGCTGGAAATTTGGCCCTGTTTTAATTATCACTTCAGCTGGAGACTCACCACCTTTTTGTCTGTTTCCTGTTCTCTGCTGACCATGGTGGTTACTTCAAGGAAACTGAAGTCCCACCACTTCAGGAAGTGAGGCCTGAGGTTTTACCTCACTGAACAGTCCTAAAATGACCTTGGAAGCTGAGTTAAACAGATGATTCCATGACTAGAAGAGAGTATGGGTGTATGGAAAGAGTGTAGGTTTGATCTTGGTCAGTAATAATAATACATGTTTATCAGGTGTTTATTTTGTACCAGGTACTATTAAATGCTTTACAGTTACCTGATTTGATTGTTAAAACAACCTTGTGAGGTAGGTAACTTAGTTTCGTTTTACATGTGAAGAAACGAAATCTTAGGTTAAAATAACCTGCTTATAGTCATAGCTGATAGGTGGTGAGCTGAGCTCTGGGTTCTTGAGTAGACTCCTGAAACACTTGATCACTCAAGCTTGTTTCCTGATCTTTAATACTTTATTGATTTTTAGAGAGAGAGAGAGAAACATCAGTGATAGAGAACATCAATTGGCTGCCTCCTGCATGTCCCCCACTGGGGATCAGGCCCATAACCTGGGCATGTGCTCTGACCGGGAATCGAACCAGCAACCTTTTGGTACATGGATTGATGCTCAACCACTGAGCCACACCGGCTGGACTATTTCCTGATCTTTAAAGTCAGGCTCTTGTCTATCTCAGAAAGTTGAGGATTTAAATAGATTTGTAAAGGGTCTGGCCCACAGAATAAGTGATGCCATGTCATTTTTCCAGAAGCTCAGGTGGTATTTTTATGTTATGCTTCTTGAGTGAAATAATCTTGGGTAGTCACCTACAACGATCATGTGCTGCAGATATGAGGAAGACGGTCCTGGTCTCTCCGGAACTTAGAGCTTTGCCAGTGGAGGGGGAGGAAGAATGGAGCAGAAAGTGGGGCCAGGGGTTGGCAAACAGAAGGCTCTCAGTTCAGTGTGATCAGGATTGAGTTGCCCTTTACCAAGAGGCAGGAGTTACTGTGCTGCCATTATCAAAGTTGGTGGCTTTGATTCCTTACTGACCAGTGGGATAACTTGTGTTGGGAACACAGGAGTGAGTAGAAACCAGTTGGCTCTTTTGGATACCAGTGTTCTGAGTCAGGACATTAAGTGTAGGGGCTGGGCCCAAACAAGCCAGCCTTCAATGGCAGGAACCTGAGGGAAGTTGGTGCAGTGTCCATCCCATTTCTGATCAGTCTTACAAAGTCAGATTCCCTGTCCACAGTCAGATTTCTGTGAGACTGTCCAAGGTCTTCTAAAAGCATGTAACAGTTGACTGGGATCCTGGATTCCCTGAGAAGCAGCAGTTAGGAAGTACGGTTCCTCCAGCATCTAGAGGGATTTCCAAAAGTGCTCAACTACTTCTTCGTAATCATGTTCATAATCTGCAAAGGAGTCCAAGTCAGTGAGGATCTTTAGCCTTAAACAGGTTCCTTACCCCACTTTACCACTTTAGGGCACACTTCCTTACGTGGAGACGGAAGGGGTTGGTCTAAGTGCTTTAAGGTTCTTGTTCTGACTGAACACTTGGAAAACATTCTTCCTGTATGCCTTGAGGAGGGAGGGGAGTGTGTTGAAAGGAACTCATTTTCCTTTCCAGGGTTCTGAGGCCCCCGGGAGATGGACAGTAGGGACCCTTCAGCCTAAGCCCATTCCATACAGGCCTGGCCAACCAGCTGGGACCGCAGAAGGGTTATCTACAGGCAGGGCCCTGCTGAATGTTTGGCCAGCACCACTGGTGGCGAAAGCAGCATCAGAGTGGAGTAAGAAGGGTAGAAGCAAGGAAGGAGATGAACAAGGGCTGATAGGACTTACCTGGATTCATTGTGTTGCTGGGCTTAGTGGTCTCGCAGCCCTTCTTATTGACAGAAATCTTGCTGTAGGTATTTGATCTGTCCTCTGTGACTGCTGGCAGGGTCTTCATCTTGAGTTTGGGCAACAGGGTGGGTTGCTGCAGTTCTGAGACTTCAGAAGACTAAGTAGGAGAACAAGCAAAAATCAGCAGGGTCCTAAGAAATAGATCAGCAGAATCCACGGAATGTAATTTTCTTCAAATGTCACTTCCTCTGCGCCCTTCTTTACTTCCTTTTCAGAGTAGGGCTTCTCACGACCCTGGGTGTTTTTGCTATAAGCACATGAAATGTCCTTTGGCAGGGGAGAAAGGAGCCAGAGTGAGAGATGATATGGTTGGGGGCTATAGACAGTGTTCCTGTTTCTCCACATAGGAGTTTGGTCAGTATCCTTCACACCTGTTGCTGAAGAGGGAAAAAGCAGCCACAGAGCCTCAGAACAGAGTGCCAGGGCTGAGAGGAGTACCAGAAGGAAGAGGACTTTTATTGAACAACTAACTCATATGTGCCAGATGTTATATGCATATCTGTTCATTTAATCCTCAGATGACCCTCTTAGTAGTTGGTTCAGTTCCCAATTTACAAACGAGGAAATGGCTTCAGAGAGAGTATGCCATGTCAGACCTCACAGGGGATCCCTAGCTGGGCCACCGCTCCAGCCCAGACCTTGTCTTTCACCTCTAAAGCCAGTGCTCTTTCCACCACCTCAGGCTTTGGAGAGAAAACAGCGCAGCTTCCTGATCAGCAGCAAAGAAGACTGATACCCAGAGAGGAAAAGCTGTTGATCAAGGATGAGAAGCAGGAACTGGGCCCAAAGTCACTTCTATCAGGAACCAAGGCTGGGACTGAGGTCTCTGAATTCTTTGTACTGTAGTCTTTCCAGCACTGTTAGAAGGCTTGTGTTTAAGATGTCTTAGTCCATACTTTGTCCTCTCAGAAAACGACAGCCCCTCCTCTGCAGATATGACACTCTTCTAGGCTGAGACCCAGAATTCATCTTTTGAACCTCCACTGCCATCCCACTACCTACCCACAGCACAGACTACGAGCAGAGCATGGTAGTGAGCTGCTCAAGCCTCGTGGTCAGACTGATTTCAAAACCCACATCACTACTTGTCAGCTGTATGATCTCAGATAAACTACTTTACCTCATGGTGCTCGTTTCCTCCACAGTACACAGAGATATCTGCCCACCTCAGAAGGGCATCGCAAGAGCTGGTGGGGCAGTGCATACAAGGTGCCTGCCACACAGTAAATACCCCACGGGTAGCAGCACTGAGTGGTGCCATCTCAGGTTCACGGGTGAGAAAACGGATGCTGAGTCCAGGCCACAAAGTGAGTAAATTGGGACTACAAGTGAGACTTTTCTGTCTCTGCTCCTTTTCCCCCTATTGTGATTCCGTTTCATTCAGCACTCTCTGGCACCTTCTCTGCCCACTTTGGAGAGGGTAAGATCCCTGCCCCCACAGAACTCTAATTCTAGCCAGAGGGACTCAGGTACAGCTAACTGAAAACTGCATGCTCCCCACCCCACCCCCAAGCTACATTCAACATGCAGTGTGAATACACGAGGAAGGACTCAGTGTATAAGAGGATGTCTGAGCTGAGACTTGCCTGTGAGCCTAAAAGAAAGAACATGCCTGGCTAACAGGCTGGTGTGTCTAAAGTGCTGAGGCAGGAGTCCTGGCACAGTGAGGGAGCATCAGGAGCTTCTCTGTGGCTGGAGTGTGAACTTCACAGTGGGTGGGGGAAGATGGGCCTGGGAAGGTGAGACAGGTCAGCTTAGAAAAGGGCCTGGATGCTCGGCCAGTGTGGCTCGGTGGTTGAACGTCAACCCATGCAACAAGAGGTCTCCTGTTCAATTCCCGGTCAGGGCACATGCCCAGGTTGTGGGCCAAATCCCCAGTCAGGGGCATGCAGGAGGCAGCCAATCAATGTTTCCATCTGTCTCTCCCTCTCTCTAAAATCAATAAAGAAAAAAACAACTTTTTTTTAAAGAAAGGGGCCTGGAGGCTATGTTAAAGGATCTACATTACCTCCTGGCAATGGGGAGCCACTGGAGGTTTCAGAAAATGGAGCCAAAACCCACTGGTGACCAGGGAAGGATTTAGAAGGGCATTCTGACATTAGTGGGGAGGGGCTGAAGAGGCTGCTGAAACAATTTAGGTGAAAAATGCTAGAACTAGGGCATGGCATCACAGGTAGTAAAAAGGCAAAGCACAGTGACCTTGGAATCAGAATGCTTATGCTCTGGTTTAGGCCTCCTGTTTATTAACTGTGACTGTGGGTGAATCTCAGGGTTTGTCATTTCTTCAACTATAAAACATGGATAATCACACCAACTTCAGGATTGTCAGGTTGGGATAAGAATAACGTGCAAAGTGCGCAAGCTTATAAGCTACAGGTTCTATACAATTGTAAGAAACATGATACTAGACAAAGGAGAATGGTCGGGCTTGTAGAGTTCCTAGCAGGTGAACCCATCCCCAACTTTGGTTATATTGGTACCTTGATGCGTATCTCCTGGCTGCTTTGTTTCTTCTGCCTGCTGAGGTCCTGACGCTTCGGGGGCCTGGGTGGGGGGGATTGGCTTTCGAAGGTTGGTAACTTCCTAAGGTGATAATAGAAGGCATCTGTCAGCTCCTCCACTGTAGCTCTGAGAGACCCAGCTGGCTGACCTGGCTGCTCCTTGACCTCTATAACAGTCAGGTCCAGCCACCGGGGAGGAATCTCAAAGTACATCCCAGGCTCAGAGTCCAGGCTGACCATCAAGAAGGGTTCCATGATTTTCTCCTCCAGCCTCAGGCCCGGGAAGAAGGACAGAGGGTCAGCAGGATGGCTGGTGTCCTTGGTCACCACCTTGACTTCACAGGGCAGAGAGAACTGGACAATCAGATCTTCCAGGCTATATCGTCGGCCATCACTCATCTCCTCCACGAAGCCACCAGAGAAGTAGAGGGGCAGCATGATCTGTTCTTGGTCCTCTGCCTCCTCTTGACACTCTTCCTCCCCAGCCTGGTCACTGAGCCGGTGACACACCAAGATGTCTATGTCCCTGCCATGAGTCCCATGGGTCTGACCAGACCCCACTACCTCCAGTCTGTCTCCCATAGCCAGGGAACCAGACCCAGGGATTTCCACGTCATCATCCTCATAGTCCTTCATGACCACCACCCGGAGAGGCCAGCCTGGCTGGAGAGCACCCAGGAGGTCATAGGCCGTGGAGAATTCTCTTGGCCGTCGCCGCAGTTTACCCTGGTAGGCTCCAGACACCATGAAATATCTGGGCACCTTCCGGCCCTTGGTTGAGGCCAGGACCCGCCAGGCTGGTGAAGCCAGGCCATAGATGCAGAGCTTTTGGCCTTTCTGCAAGAAGCCCATCCACTGGCTGAGGAAGATGGGGGGCCCTTCTGGAACTTCCACGATCTCTGTAGTCATGGGGAAGGGGCCTCCCTGGGCCAGGACCTCACTCAGCAGCAGTGGTTGGATGAAGTGGATGTGTTCAGAGGAGGTGGTGACATCCTCCACGTCGACCTCCAAGGAAGACGGGATGTTGACAATGGTCCTACGCACTGTGGAAGGGGGATGTCAGATCAGTGGCATGGCCACATGCCTCCTCAGAGGTGCACTCTCCACCCCCAGCAAAGAGATCTGGGCCAGCTGACCTCTTTCCTGTTCCCATATTTTCTTTCCTATCAGCATTTGCCTGCTGTACCAGATTCCTTGGCCACTCTTGCCTCCAACCTGTTTTGTTTTGTTTTAAGTTATTTTAGAAATTTAAACATTTATAAAAGTAGAGAGACACGTACAGTGACCCCCTCCACCATGTACCCAGCTTCAACACTGAACTCAAGGCTCATCTTTATTATTATTTTTCTTTATTGATTTTAGAGGAAGGGAGAGGGAAAGAGACAGAAATATCGATGAGAGAGAACATGGACTGGCCACCTCCTGCATGCCCCGCCCCTGAAGATTTGGCCCACAACCTGGGCATGTGCCGTGACTGGGAATCAAACCAGCGACTTCTTGGTGCATGGGTCAATGCTCAACCACTGGGCCACACTGGGCTCAAAAATCAATTTTTTTAAAAGATGGTGGTGTAGGTAAATTCCGTACTGAAATTCTTCCGTAACCACATCAAAATTACAACTAAATTACAAAACCATCATTCAAAACCAGCTAAAATGTACCTGAGCAGAAGTCCTACAACTAAGGATATAAGGAGGGAGCCAGATCAAGACTGATGTGCCTGAATGGCTGGACAGAGTGCAGAAAAATGGAGAGCTATTTTATTTGGAACTGAGCAAGCACGAAGAAAGCCTCCTTCCAGAGATCTGTGGTGAACCATGTTGGGTTCAGTGAAAATGGGATTACTATGGAAGAGAATGATTACAAAGGAGAAAAAAATATATACCTAAACTCAAGTGGTTTACCAAAATTTTAAAAAGTAAAAAGTAAAGTAAGCCCTGGCTGGTTTGCTCAGCGGTTAGAGCATCAGCTCACAGACCAATGAGTTAGTTGTAGGTTTGATTCTGGTCAAGAGCATGTACCTCGGTTGCATTTCAGTCCCTGGCCCTGGTTGGGGTCATGCAGGAGGCAACCAGTCGATGGGTCTCTCTCACATCGATGTTTCTCTTTCCCTCCCTCCCAATCTATCTGAATAAAGATGGAAAAATAGCCTGGCCGGTGTGGCTCAGTGGTTAAGCATCAACCCATGCACCAAGAGGTCGCTGGTTCGATTCCTGGTCAGGACACATGCCCAGGTTGTGGGCCAAATTCCCAGTGGGGGGCATGCAAGAGGTGGCCAGTCGATGTTCTCTCTCATCGATGTTTCTATCTCTCCCTCTTTCTTCCTCTCTCTCTAAAAATCAATAAAGAAAAAGAATTTTTTTTTTATCCTCACCTGAGGACATTTTTCCATTTTTTGTTCAGATAGAGTGGGAGGGAGAGAGAGGAAGAGAAAGAGAGAGAGAAACATCGACGTGAAAGGGACACATCGAGTGGCTGCCACCTGCACAACCCAACCAGGGCCGGGGACAAACTGCAACCGAGGTACATGCCCTTAGCGGAAACCGAACCCGGGTCTCTCCGAACTGCAGGCCTACGCTCTAACCACTTGAGCCAAACTGGCCAGGGCGAAAATAATTTTTAAAAAGGAAAAATATCCTCGGGTGAGAATTAAAAAAAAATAAAAAAAGTAAAATACAGTTTGATTCTCGGTCAGGGCACATGCCCCGGTTGCAGGCTTGATCCCCAGTGGGGGGCATGAAGGAGATAGCCAATAGCTGTTTCTCTCTCACGTCAGTGTTTCTATCTCTTGCTCTCTTCCTCTCTCTAAAAAAATCAATAAAAATTAAAGTAAAAGACTTTTACTCAAGCACTATAAAAAGTTTAAAAAGCAATTAACAGTGGGCCAGTCTCCATTCTAAAGCATCAGTACAATCAGAAAATAAGAATCGTTGTCCAACAGAAGTACAAAGACATAAATATCTATGTGAACCCCAAAAAGCTAACAGTCACCAAAGCCAAAGAAGCTCAAGCTTCATCCATCAGACCTAGTGGAGCTGGAGGAAAAACAGAAAATAGGCCAGTGGGGAGAGGCTTGTGGTTCACAGCCAGGAGGACCTGCCATGAAGAACGGTCAGGTATTAACTGATAAGTGCTGCTGCTGAACATCAGTCCTCATTTGCTGAGATATGTGATTAATGATGCCTTGTTAGGAACGTGATCAAATAGAACTATAGCCGGGGTTTCAACAGATTAAGGACTACTTGACAATATTTGGGGCTGCACTGAAATTGTTTAAGGGTGGGTGTACTGCCAGGCAAAAAGTTCTTTGTTGTTAATTCTCACTCAAGGATATTTTTCCATTGATTTTTTTAGAGAGAGTGGAAGGGAGGGAGAGAGAGAGAGAAACATCGATGTGAGAGAGAGACATCAATTGTTTGCCTCCTGCACAACCCCAACTAGGGCCAGGTATCGAACCTGCAGCCGAGGTACGTGCCCTTGACCGGGAATCGAACCTGTGACCCTTCAGTCCGAGGGTGAACATTCTAACTGCTGAGTAAACCAGCCAGGGCAGGCACAATGTTCTTAAAATTAACACTTCAGTGTCTTAAAAAGAAAATGAGTCACATTTTAAAGTAGAGGCACCTTGCCCTGGCCGGTTTAGCTCAGCGGTTGGAGCGTCGGCCTGCAGTCCAGAGAGACGGGTTCGGTTCCCGCTAAGGGCAGTACCTTGGTTGCAGTTTGTCCCCAGCCCTGGTTGGGTCGTGCGGGAGACAACCATTCGATGTGTCCCTTTCACATTGATGTTTCTCTCTCCCTCTCTCTCCCTCTCTTCCTCTCTCTCCCTCTTCCTCTCTCTCCCTCCCACTCTATCTGAACAAAAAAATGGAAAAATGTCCTCGAGTGAGGATATAAATAAATAAAATAGAGGAACCTTTTTTTAAAAAGAGGCACATATTGGAGTATTTAAGAAAGAAATGCTATGATACCTGGGGTTTGCTTTGAAATAAATCAGGTGGAATGGGGTAAGGAGAGGAGGGCTAGGAGAGAGGAAACAGGATAGTGAGTTGACAATTATGATGTTGGGTAATGGGGTCGTGGAGGTTTGTTATCCTCCCTGCTTTTGTATAGGTTTGGATTTTTGCATATAAAGTAGTTTTTTAAGTTTTTTTTTAAAAAAAAAACAGGGCAAAGATTCCCTACTTGGCTCTGTTGTCTGCCAGCAAGCCTGACTCCTCTCCTGGTACCTGCCAGGGAGGTGAACCCTCCAACACTGGCCTCCAGGGAAGAGGCCCCAGGTGCCATTCTTTTACCTCTGCTCAGGCTGAGCCTCTGACTGGACAGGTCCTTCTGCCTCTATGTAACCAACCCCGCTCTCCGTTGCCACCAGCCTGGCCTAAGAAATAACCCGTGAGCCTGGTTGGTGTGGCTCAGTGGATTGAGCGTTGTCCCAAGGACTGAGAGGTCCCGGTTTGATTCCCCAGTACGGCACATGCCTGGGTTTTGGGCTCGATCCCCAGGAGGGGGTGTGCAGGGGGCAGCTAATTGATGTTTTTCTCTCATATCAATGTTTCCATCTCTCTCTCCCTTCCTCTCTAAAAAAAAACAAAAACAATAAAAAACATATTTTTAAAAAAGAATGAAAGAACCTATGAAACAGCTGGGGGACTCGGTGCCTGTCACTGGGACAGAAGGACCTTCAAGAACAATCCTGCTCTCCCCAGAGGTAGGAAAACATGTTTCTCCTGAGCAAATAATCAAGATTTCACTTGGTAACATCATGTCTCTTTATCCTAGCTGCTAGTAAGCTCACAACCCAATTTCACCCAATTTTATAAAACCCCTGGGAACTTACTCTTAAATTACCCTATTTTCCTATCTCCTTTTACACCTAACTTCCCACTCTCTGAGAATCTTTATTCTGTTACTTTGTATATACAGTGTAAGCCACCTGGAATCTCTAGACTATGGGGGGGGGGGGTGTCTTCCATCAGAGCAGCTCTCCAGCTCCCCCCTTACCCTTCCCCACCAACTGCCACCCACCTGCCCTGACAACTCACTGTGCATGATGGCTTGAATCTCATACTGGGGCCTCAGGATCAAGCAACGCCAGGGGCAGGTGGGGCAGGTGAGGAGGAGGTCCCTCAGGGCTGGATCTTGCAGGACTTGCAGCAGGGTCCGAGGGGCACCAGTCTCCAGCTCCCAGAAGGGCCCCTTCGTAGACAGGGGCAGGTGCAGAACCTCCACCTGGGTTCCCATGCCCAGCACACAGCGGGCAGAGGAGGTCCCAAGGTGCATTTCCACAGCCTCAAGCATGAGGGGCTGCTCCTGAGGTACCACTCTGGCCTTTGTGTCAATTCTGTGGGTCGACATGAACCAGATGGGCAGCTGCTTGGAGCTCTGCATTATAGCAGAGACCAGTTTCTCCAGGGTTTCATAGCTCTGGGGGCCGGTAAGCGGACTGAAGAAGCCTGTGGGGCACAGCAGAGGGTATCAGAGTGGGGCAGGCCTTTGTTGGATCCAGGGCCAAATATACCAGGCCCCAGTCTGGCCAAAGAGAACCCAGCCAGATTCCCCCGAGGACAGGTGCCAAGGACAGGACAGCATCTGGACACCTGGGCCGCAGGACTGAGAGACAGGAGGCAGCAAGTGACCGTGTATGAATGGACAACGAAGGGCTGAGGTGGACAGTTCCTCTGACAGGCACAAACATGGAGATTGTTACCAGAGACAGAACAGAACAGGGACATGTTCCCTAACAGACACTGCCAACTGCCAACTTTTCCTACCTCCTAACCCCACCATCCTCTAATTTTGCCAACTTTGCCTCCAGATACCTCACCACCGCTCCAGTGCCACACATCCAACACCTGTCACCCCATCTTGGGGCAGTGCCATTGTCCTCTCTCCCAAACCAAAAACCCAGGAGCCACTGGCCAAATGAGTTCTGATGCCCCATCCCCCGCAAGTGTCAGTTCTGGCTGCTCTCATCCCTCTGCCTCTCCCCGACCCCATCCATTCTTCTCTTGCCACCTGACCAACCTAAATTAACCCCACATCTGGACATCACTTCTGAGATCTTTCTGCCCAAAACATTCAACATACATCCAATCCAGGAAACATCATACAAACCCCGACTGAGGGACATTCTGCAAAAGCACTGGCCTGGACTCTTCAAAAACATGGATGTCAGGACAAAGAAAGCCTGTGGATCTCTTCTAGCCCAAAGGAGACTAAAGAAATAGGACAGGCCCTGGCCAATCTGGTTCAGTGGTTAGAGCATCAGCCCTCTGTCCAAAGGGTCTCAGGTTCAATTCCGGTCAAGGGCACATACCTGGGTTGCAGTTTCGATCCCCTGTCAGGGTCATGCGGTGGCAACCAATCAATGTGTCTCTCACATCAATGTTTCTCTCTCTCCTGCTCCCCTCCTTTTCATTCTATCTAAAAATCAATGAAAAAATATCCTTGGGAGAAGATTAAAAAAGAAAAAGAAATAAGACAGCTGCCTGCGATGTGTGATCTGGGACTGGATTCTGGATCAAGGGAAAAACTGCTATAAAGGACATAATTAGGGCAGCTGGTGAAATTTGAATACAGACTGTGGGTTAGGCACTAGTATTTTTTTCCAGTAATTACCAAATTTAATCCATTCTTTTCCATATCTCATAAGGTCTCTAATTCTTTTTGTTTTGTTTTGTTTTTTTGTGTGTGTGTTGTTTTTTTTTTGATATTTTGTTCAGATAGAGTGGGAGGGAGAGAGAGAGAGAGAAACATCAACGTGAAAGGGACACATCGAATGGTTGCCACCCGCACGACCCAGCCAGGGCCGGGGACAAACTGCAACCGAGGTACATGCCCTTAGTGGGAACCAAACCCGGGTCTTTCTGGACTGCAGGCCGACGCTCTAACCGCTGAGCCAAACCGGCCAGGGCAGGTCTCTAATTCTAAAATGTTAAAATTAATACTAACATTTTTGCCCTGGCCGGTTTGGCTCAGCAGTTGGAGTGTTGTCCCGTGGACCAGAGAGACCCGGGTTCGGTGTCCACTGGGGGGCACGTACCTCCATTGCAGTTTGTCCCCAGCCCCGGCTGGGGTTGTGTGGGTGGCAGTCAATGCGTCTCTTTCACATCGATGTTTCTCTTTCTCTCTTCCCCCCCCCTCTCCCTCCTGCTCTATCTGAAGATAAATGCAAAAAAAAAAAAAAAAAAAAAAAATGTCCTCAGGTGAGGATAAAAAAAAAAATTAACAACTTTGTTCTTTAGCATGTTCTAATATCAGCCCAATCAGATTATCATCTAACTCCACTAAAAGGTGTTTCAGCCTGCCCCCTTTTCTGTGTATCTACTATAAAACATATCAATAAACCCAGTGCTTGAAACTAAGGTAAAAATAACTATTCTTAGTCTCACAGATCATCCTGGGCAATGATGGCACTGCACACCAGACATGTCCTGGAAAACCCTTCTCTTGGTGCCTTCTCATTCCTCTGCCAGATTAAACCCCTCCCACCAATTCTCTTGGTCCCATTACCTCCTGAACCATGCTCCATCCATTAATCTCCCTACCCTGGCTACTGTCCCTTGGCCTTTTCCATCCTAAAAAACCTTTTCCCTTGGACCTTAAATCACTGCCTCACATTCCCTCTTCTGTCAGCCGCTAAACCTTTTCAGTTACCTGCCTCCCTTCCCCAGTCAGCTGAAGTTGCTAAGGAAGCAGACACTTGCTAATTGCCAAATATAGTTGCCTGTTTTTACGCCTCATCTTGAGTTTTCTGCACCAGTCTGATAACTTTTCTTTAAACCTTTCTCCCCTGAATTCTTTTTTTTTTAAATATATTTTTATTGATTTTTTTTATCCTCACCCGAGGACATTTTTTCGTTTTTTGTTCAGATAGAGCAGGAGGGGGAGAGAGAGAGAGAGACATCGACGTGAAAGGGACACATCGAGTGGCTGTCACCCACACGACCAACCAGGGCCGGGGACAAACTGCAACCGAGGTACATGCCCTTAGCGGGAACCAGACCCGGGTCTCTCTGGGCTGCAGGCCGACACTCTAACCGCTGAGCCAAACCAGCCAGGGCATCAAATGTAATTATTTAAATTTAAATTTAAATTAATTAACTCAATTATTACCCTATCACCAAACTACCTTTCTTTTTTTTTAATCCTTACTCAAGGACATTTTTCCATTTTTTGTTCAGATAGAGTGGGAGGGAGAGAGAGAGAGAGAGAGAGAAACATCAATGTGAAAGGGACACATCGAGTGGCTGCCACCCACACGACCCAACCAGGGCCGGGGACAAACCGCAACCGAGGTACGTGCCCTTAGCGGGAACCAAACCCGGGTCTCTCTGGACCACAGGACGACACTCTAACCGCTGAGCCACACCAGCTGGGCATCAAATGTAATTATTTAAATTTAAATTAATTAAAACTAAATAAAAATTAGGTTCTTCAGTTGCACTTAGCCACGTTTCCTTGACTTTATCCTTCTAACCTAGTCTGCTCCACATTGTATTGTCCAGCCACATTTCAACTGCTCAACAGCTCAACAACTTAAAAGTGGCTAGGGGTCCCTTTATCAGACAAAAGTATAGAACATTTCCATGACCAACGAAAGTTCTTTTGGACAGTGCTGATGTATATACCCTCTTACCATCAACTCAATGTGCACCAGACACTGCTCTGGACTCTGGAGACAGAGCACTGAAAAAACAACGTCTCACTGTTCATGGAAGTAACATTCTAGTAGAAGGAGACAGACAATAAATAGTTTGTTAGACGAACAATCTCACTTATTCCCAAATCATCATATGCCGAGGACTCCGAAAGCCTCTCTTGGGCCCTGAACTTTAATTTCCAGCTTCCGCTAGATTTCACCGCGTAGATGCCTAAGAAGTACTCTAAACTGCATCAAAATTAAACATAGTATCTTCCCTTCCCTCTCAAACTTCCTTTTTCTGTATTCTCGATTTCTGAGTAACCCTGGATTTTTCCTCTTCTGTCCTACCACCAGTTGAAGTTTCTGTCTTGAACCACTTCATCTCTGCTAATTATCTCTTGGCCAGAAGCCTCCAAAATTCACTTCACTACCTCTGATCTTTCCACATTCACTTCACTCATGCCCAGTTCATCCTAGTCCATCTGCTAGTAGTTACACTTCTAACACACAAACCCGAGTCTGTAATTTCCCTGCTCAGAAATCACTGGATACATGCCTGAAAAATAAAACAGAAATCCCTTTGCACGAATTTACAGCACTACACACTGTGGTTACAACCTCCTTTATCCTTCTGACCTAGTCTCCTGCTACCCACTGTACTATCCAGCCACACCAAATTCCTAGGGGCCTTCAAGCAGCAATCCTTCCTTGCAATCATTTCATTTTCTCCACTGAAACACACAATCACAAACAAAAACATCCTCTTCACTCGTGAAGACGTAGTTAAAGTGCCAGTCTCTGAAATCTTTACCATCCTCCGTCTTAATGATTTCTTCTTTAGAGATGCTGTGCACATAACTACTGTGGGTCATAGTCTGGGCATCTGGTACAGTATCTGGGGTATAGCATTGAAGAATTGATTGCTTCTCTAGGCATTATGTCTGGGAACCAAATTTTCTATCATATTTTTAAAGCCTTGTTTCCCTTGTAGGACTCAACAACTTGATACGCTAGGGGTATTCAACAAAGACTCAGCAGCATGAGGCATTTTCTCACATTTGGAGCGAGCACAAAGATGCTGCCTGAATGGAGGCTTTGTCTGAGAACTGAAAATTCTGGGTCCTTCTCCTCACCAGCATCTTGGTTCTTTCTTCCAAAGGACAACTGGCAGAACAGGGACAGTGGCTCCAGCAGCCACTGGGCGGAAGACAATTTATGAAGATGAAAGGGTGGGGGGAAGGGGTTACAGAAAGAGTTGGGAAGAAACATTCCAACTGGAGAGAATGGAAACCCCTCTCCCTCGCCCTGTGAGGGGTCCCCTCACTGACGTCTTTAGGTTCTTCACTTCTTAGGCACTAGGGTTGTGTCAACATTAAATTTCCTAAATGTGGCCCTGGCCAGTTTGGCTCAGCGGTTAGAGTGTCGGCCTGCGGTCCAGAGAGACCCGGGTTCGGTTCCCGCTAAGGGCATGTACTTCGGTTGCAGTTTGTCCCCGGCCCTGGTTGGTCGTGCGGGTGGCAGCCACTCGATGTGTCCCTTCACATCGATGTTTCTCTCTCTCTCTCCCTTCCTCTCTCTCCCTCCCATTCTATCTGTACAAAAAATGGAAAAATACCCTCGGGTGAGGATTAAAAAAAAAAAAAAAAAAAAAATTTCCCTAAATGTGATCATTACACTATGTTTTATGATCAAATATCTTTGTTTTTCTGAGCAAATGTCCTTGTTTTCTGAGCAAATATCCTTGTTTTTAGAAGACACACTAAATAGTAGGAATAATATTTAGATGTAAAGGGCATCATGTCTGCAATTTACTTTCAAATGGTTCAGGAGAAATATATAGTAACATACGTTCACATATCTGTATATGTGTGTGTGAAAAGAAAGGAAGGGAAAGAGAAAGCAAGTGTAACAAAATGTTTAACAATTAGTGAATCTGGGCCCTGGCCAACCAGCTCAGTGGTTGGAGCGTCGGCCTGCAGACCAGAGAGTCCTGGGTTCAGTTCCCGCTAGGGGCACGTACCAAAAAAATAAATAAATATCTTAACAATTACTGAATATGGATAAGGGTAAACAGTAGTTCTAGCAAGTCTTCTGTAAATTTGAAATACAAAATAAAAACAAAATCCTCAAAATATAAAATAATACACATCACTTTCATATTTAAAATCCTCACTGGCTTCTTAGTGCCTTCAGAATAAAGACCGAACTCTGTCTGCCCCACACAAGGCCCCTGGGGTCTGACTCCCGCCACCTCCTACCTCACCTGGAACCCACACCCTCACCCACTGACTCATACTAAGAGCCAGCACTCAGAGGGCACCTGCTCTGTGCCAGGCCTCTTCTACATGCTTCACACATAGCAACTAGTTTCATCTTCACATCAAGCCTGAGTGCCCCTGTCACAGAAAGGGAAGCTGAGGTCCAGAGAGGTCAGGGGAACTGGCTAAGGCTACAGCTAGTGGTTGCAGAACCAGATTCCCATCCAGGCTGTTGGTTTCAGCCCGGGGCCCACAGTCCACCACACTACATGCTTCCTAAAATAACTGAGCTACATGGGGTTTCTGGAGCCCCAAATGTACACATGCTACTCCCTCTAGGGATCCTTCCTCCAACTCAGGTGCCACCTCCTCCAGGAAGCCAGCACAGACCACTGAGGCAGACCATTCCCGCCAGAACCCTCTCCAAACATGCGCCTACTTCTACTATCGCCTTCTACCGTGGGAGCTCCCCACTGGAGAGGGCTGCTCCTGGTTCATCCTGAACCCCACATCCCCAGCTCCCAGTACAGGGCCTGCCACACAGAGGGTGTCAATAAATGTTTAGTAAGTGAATGTGTGAGCGAACAGACAGGCATGTGGACAAAGATAAGGGTAAACAGTAGTTTACAAAGAAAATCCCAACTGAAGCGAGATAGACAGGGAGAAGGTGCAGCCAGCCGGGCTCAGGGCATTATCAGACCACCCTGAGGACATCCTGAGCCTTGAGCCCGCGGATGTGAGAGCCGCATGCGCTAACCCAGAGAGGTGGGAGTGCGTGCTGGAGTCGGCAAGCCCACGGTGTCCGCAGGTGTGCCTAGAGGGTGCCAGGGCACTCGGGGAGACAGAAGTGCTTGTCTTACCCTCGAAGTTGGGGTCCAGATCTATGGTCTGGCCCGTCCCTGGGTTCTCACAGACAACCTTCTGGAGCCGAATCTGGGTGACCTTGATCAGGTCCCCTGTGGAGAGGCAGCACTCGTTCCCCGAGATCTCGTAGATGGAACCTGCAGAGACACAAGCTCAGTTTCCCTGTTCAGCAAGGGCCAAGCACTGGGCGGCCTGTGCCCTGCTCTCCCACAGCCCCGCTCTGCCATGCCTTTGCACACGTGTTCCTGCTGCCCGGATGCCCTTCCCTACTTAATGGCCACTGGCTTAGCTGTCCTTAGGCAGCATACATGCCACCTTTGCCTTCATCTAGCGCTGTATGTACCCCTCTGTGGTACATCCTCTGGCCTTCTTCATATCCCCATGCCTCCTAAACTGAGCTCACAGAGCGGGGCTGATCCCTCTTAGCATCATGGCAGCCGGCACAGGCCTGGCCTCTTAGTACATGTTAAAGTCACTAACGAGTAAATAACCCAGTATCTCCCATTTCCTTATTGCACAGTTATTTAATCAGGTCCAGAGAGGGTGAGTGGCTACCCAAGGTCACACAGAGCCTAGCACCCACCCTGGTGCTTTCTTCTTTAGATGAATTGTTTTTAAAGGAAGTGCAGGAGAGCCCAGCTGGTGTGGCTCTGGTTGAGCATCAACTCATGCACCAAGAGGTCGCCGGTTCAATTCCCAGTCGGGGCACATGACCAGGTTGTGGGCCAAATCCCCAATGGGGGGCATGCAGGAGGCAGCCAATCGATGTTCTCTCTGATCGATGTTTCTATCTCTCCCCCTCTCCCTTCCTTTCTCTCTAAAATCAATAAAGGGAAAAACATTTTTTTTTTTGTAAAGGAAGCGCAGGAGAGAATGAAGAGCCACTGACAGGGTGTGCCCCGTAGGGAGGGTTCTGAGCCCTTAAGCAGTGTCTGGAACATAGAAGGTGCTCAGGAGAAATCTTGCTCACACATGAGGTACACAGGCTCTGGGTCCTGCTGCTGACTGAGTGCAAAGTACAGCTCAGTGAGCCTTGAAACCACTGGACCCCCCACCCTATTGCAGCCTCAGGAGGGCCCTCCACAACAGCCCTGAGAAACCTGTGAAAACCTTCCCTTTTACCCCCAGGAAAACGCACACAGATTCATAAAACACACAATCCATCTGCAATTTTGGGTGTGGGCCCTGGGGCTGGTGAGAACAGCAGCTGAAATGACAAGCACTGTGGTTAGTACTGCATATGGGTCAATGCATTTAAGACCCACGATGGGCCCTGGCCTGTTTGGCTCAGCAGTTAGAGCTTTGACCTGTGGTCTGGAGAGACCCTGCTTTGGTTCTCGCTGAGGGCACACACCTCGCAGTTTGTCCCCGGCCCTGGTTGGGTTGTGTGGGTGGCAACCACTTGATGTGTCCCTTTCACGTCAATGTTTCTCTCTCTCTCTCTCCCTCCCTCCCACTCTATCTGAACAAAATATCGAAAAATGTCGAAAAAAGATCCACGATGGCCCTGGGAAGGGCAGAGTTTCCCCTTTTTAAATGATGAAACAGCCTCAGCAAGGCTGCATGGGTGGCCCAAGATTATAGGTAATAAGAGGCCTAACTGGGACTTGAGTCCGGGGTGTTTGTCCCTAAAGCTGCAACTTCTAACCCCTTCCAATTGTCTGGGCAGCCGCCTGCCCCACTGGCCGACACTCACCCCCATCTCCATACTTGCACCCATCTGGTTCTTCTCTTACCCTAACTTCCCACCACCCAGCTCAGGCAGAATGATGAAACTCAGGTATTATGACACACAGAGAGAGGGGGATGTCCCGAAGAGAGCAAACAGAGCCAGGCATCTGCAGGAAGCCCCCAGAGGTGGTCAGGATTTGAACCCAGATCCATTAGATTCCCAAATGCACTTGGTCAGACCCACTGTATGGTGGCCTGTCCTGCCTCCTGTTTGCCTCTCCATATGTCTCACCATTGGTCTAGGACCCACTTGGGGCCTCAGAACACTTTACTGGAAGCTGCTGAAGCAGAGTGAGGGGACAGAGAGGGGACAGGACAGCAGGGGCACCCATACATTAACTTGCTCTCTAAGGAAGGAGCCCCCCCACCCCCACCCAGTGTCTTGGTTCCCTCTCTCCTCCACATCCTCCTTCCCCATTCTGTTTCCCACAGCTCCTCCTTCACTCTCTCGGCAGCCTGGGTTTCTTTTCCCCTCTGTTGAGCAGCTGTCCGCTCCCTTCCACTGCGTGTCAGTCCGTGGCCTCTTGCTCTTTCAGGTAATAGCTAGTGACTGAGGCCCTGCTGAGTACCGCCCCCAGTGAACAAGGCGGGCTGTGGCCAGGTGAGCCAGGAGCAGAGAGAGCCAAGAAGGCTTCCAGGACGAGGAGCCTTTTAAGCTGGGAACTGAAGAGCTGATCAGACAAGCACTGCGTATTACCGCCAAGCAGGGAACAAAGTGGGGATGGAGGGGCCCAAGGAAGGTGGTGGTGTACATGGGTGTCAAGGGGGAGTGGGAGGCTACACGGAGGGGAGGGCTGACCTGATTCTTAAGAATCAAACAACAACTATGAGTCTTGAGCACCCTAGTGCTGCGGCCCCGCACGCGGGGGCTTCAATCGATGCGCACAGCGGCTCCACCGTACTTGGCTCGGTTCCACCCACACGTGGGTGTCTGAGCTCACTGTTACCCGGGTTGAGTATGGCTCCAACTCACGCAGCTTGGGCAATGGCAGCGCAGGGATTAGGAGCTGGGCGCACTTTCTCGGATTTCTTAGCCCTGGCAACGCTCTGCCCCACACACCCAGGGAGAACCTGGCCGCGGCGAGGCTGAGGGTCGGGTGATCCGGCCCTTCACTCACTCTGGAAGTAGACGCCCGAGCAGATCCGCAGCACACGCGGGAGGGAGGCGGGGTCCAGGGCGCAAACGAAGTCCTGCAGCGGCACGGGCTCCATGGTCCGCCAGGCTCGCTGTACGCGGACCGAGTGGCGGGTCGCCCGTCCTCCCGCCAGAGCCGCGGCCCGCCCCGCGGGGTGGAGTCTCCCCGCCCGCCGAGTGGAGCCGCCCCGCCCCCGCCCCTGCGCCCAGCTCTTGGGTAAGCCGGTTCCCTCTGCAGCCTCAGTCTCCTCATCTCTAGAGTGGGGTTGCAATACCTACCTGTCACCTTGGTGGCACGATTTAGAAGGCCTAGATCAGAGAGGCTCGGAGTAAATAAAGCAGGACCCCAGGTCTGCATTCTCCAGTAACGGACCCCATGGTGGAGAGGAAAGACAGTGATGAAGATGAAGCCCCAGAGTCCCCCCGCCCAAGCCCTCCCAGTGAAACAAGGAAATGCGCCTGCCTGGATAGCTGTCTCGGAGAGAGCCAGCCCTGCCCATGGATCCGAGGAGGAAGATACGGTGTCAGGCCTCCGGAATCCCTCTCCAGGACCAGGACGCATTGCCTTTCCAGGACGCTCGTACCCTCTGGACAATTCCGGTTAAGAGGTCTTCCTTGGCCCTGACCGGCTGCTCCGTGGTTAGAGCATCGGCCTGCAGACCAGTGAATGAGTCGCGGGCTGGATTCTGGTCAAGGGCACAGTTCCTCGGTTGCGGGGCCCTGGTCAGGTCCTGCGAGAGGCAACCAGTCGATGCGGCTCTATCGATGTTTCTCTCTCGGTCTCTCTCTCTTTCCCTCCTTCCCACTCTGTCTGATGATAAATGGAAAAATATCCTCAGGTGAGGAATTTAAAAAAAAAAGTCTTCCTTGGGCTAAAGAGAAATCTACTTGGGAGAGAGTCCAACCTCTTCTTCTGGCCCCACAAGAATAGATAAAGCTTTTCCATTTCCCTGTCCCAGATCCAAGGTTCAAATCCCAGCTCATCATCTTGCTTGTTACATTACTTGGGGCAAATCACTTTGATTTTCTGAGTTTTAGTTTCCCCACCTGTGAAATAGGGGAATCTTATCTTACTTAGCTGGTTGTGAGGATTAAATGAGATGATAGGTATTTTGAAAAATGCTTTATTTCATTTTTTGTCACTATGAAAGTAATAGATGACTTCTAATCAGAAATGCAAATACAAATAATGAAAATTTAAAATAAAAGGAATAAAGCCTAAAGACATTTGATAAATAAAAAGAGGACAGGCATTCTTTCCCCACCACCCAAATATATTTACTACTAACATTTTGCTGTTTCTTTCCGCTCTATTCTGCCTGTGTGTTTGTTTTTTTTAATTTACAGTAAAGTTGCAAAAATAGTAGAGTTTTTTCATCTGTCCCTCAGCTAGTTTCAAATTCTCCCAATACTACCATCTCACATTATCATAGCACATTTATCAAAACTAAAAAACCAACATTGCTGAATTACATTTAACTAAATTGTGGCTTTACTTGAATTTTATTTGGGTATTTTTGTTTGTTTTTGCTTTTACTGTTTCAGAATCCCATTCAGGATTCCATATTGTATTTAGTCATCATGTGTCCTGTCTGTAACACCTTCTCAACCTTTCCCTGTTCTTCTCATGACCTTGACAGTCTTGAGGAGCACTGGTCAGGTATTTTGCAGATTATCCCTTAATTTGTGTTTTGTTTTTTTCTGATGTTTTCCTCATGATCAGCCTGGGGTTATGGATTGTAGGGGCGGGTATCACCAAGATGAAGTGCCTCTCTCTCTCTCTCTCTCTCTCTTTTTTCTTTGTTGATTTTAGAGAGAGAGGAAGGGAGAGAAGAGAGAGATAGAAACATCAATGAGAGAGAACATCAATTGGCTGCCTCCTGCATACCCCCCATTGGGGACTGGGCCCATAACCTGGGCATGTGCCCTGACCGGGAATCGAACCCACAATGTCTTGGTGCACGAGTCGACGCTCAACCACTCAGACACACCAGCCGGGCTGAGGTGCCCCTCTCATCACATTCTCTCAGGTAGGCACGTGGTATACCACATGACTTTTCACTGTGATATTAACCTTGATTGCTTGAGTAAGGTGGAATTTCCAGGTTTTTCCACTGTGAAGTGCTTTTTCTCCCTTCTCTATACCCTGTTGTTTAAAAACAAGTCACTAAGTGCAGTCCACCATCAGGGGGAGCTAAGTCGCACCTTCTGGAGAGGAGAGTATCCAAATAAATTACCTGGAATTCCTTTGTAAGAAAGATTTCATGCCAGCATGGACTCATGTATATTTTTTAATTGATTTTTAGAGAGATGGGAAGGGAGAGTGGGTAGAGGAGAGAGAGAGAGAGAGAGAGAGAGAGAGAGAGAGAGAGAGAGAGAGAGAGAGAATGCACTTATTTATGCATTCATTGGTTGATTTGTATATGCTCTGACTAGGGATTGAACCCGCAACCTTGATGTATCGGATGACAGCACTCTAACCAACTGAGCTACCTTGTCAGGGTGGACTCATGTATATTTATTTTATATTTTACTTAGACTCTAATCCTACACTATTTAATTTGTTGCTCAAATTGTTCCAGCTTGGGAGTTCCTTTAACTTGGCTCCTGGGTCCCTTTGTTGTGCCCCCTTCATTCTGTTCCCTGAGTCCTCACTGTCTGGTGCTACAAGACGCTCCAGGCTCATCTTCTCTTTTTCCTGCCCCAGCCCGGCCATCAGCCATTTCTCCCAGAAGGCCTGGTTCCTTTTATTGGAGAATGGTGTTTAGGAACCACAATCTGGTCACTGAGAGTGTTCCTTCCCACTGGAAGCCTATTGTTTTTGTCTTCTCCTCTTGCATAAACATTCAGAGACACCACTGCCCACCCAAGGACCCAGCTGTAATCAAGTCCAGACCTCACCTTCAAGCAGAAGAAGCTCTTGGGTGATAAAACTTGAAGAAAATTTTAAGTCCATCTCTTTCAGTTGACCTTTATCTTGTGAACATTTTCCCCAGATTCCTGGGCACAGAAGTGGATTTAACAAATCTATTAGGCAAAAGCCTACAATGACAGATATATCAAAACCATTTCAGCCCTCACTGGAGTGGCTCAGTTGGTTGATCATAGTCCTCCTGTGCACAGAAAGGTCATCAGTTTGATTCCTGATCAGGGCACATACTTGGGTTGTGGGTTCTATCCCCAGTTGGGGCATGTGCCAGAGGCAACCAATCAATGTTTCTCTCTCACATAGATATTTTTCTCTCTCTCCCACTCCCTTCCTCTCTCTCTAAAGTCAATAAAAAAAACACAAAAAACTGACTGGCCAGTGTAGCTCAGTGGTTGAGTATCAATCCATGCACCAAGAGATCACTGGTTCGATTTCCAGTCAGGGCACATGCCCAAGTTGTGAGTCAAATCCCCAGTGGGGGGTATGCAAGAGGCGACCAATCGATGTCCTCTCCCATCAATATTTCTATCTCTCTCTAAAAAAATCAATAAAGCAAAAAAACTTAAAAAAACAAAACAAAACAAAAAAAAACAGCCCTGGCCAGTTTGGTTCAGCGATTAGAGCATCGGCCTGCGGTCCAGAGAGACCCGGGTTCAATTTCCACTAAGGGCACGTACCTTGGTTGCAGTTTGTCCCTGGCCCTGGTTGGGTTGTGCGGGTGGCAGCCACCCGATGTGTCCCTTTCACGTCGATATTTCTCTCTCTCTCTCTCTTCCTCTCTCTCCCTCCCACTCTGTCTGAATAAAGAATGGAAAAAAGTCCTCGGGTGAGGATTCAAAACAAAAAACAAAACAAAACAAAAAAACCCCAAAACATTAAAAAAAACTATTTTCTTGCCACTACAATTTGCAGTTATATATATATGTGTGTGTAATTATTGCCTTAAAAATTGGCTAAATTGCCCGGCCAGTGTGGCTCAGTGGATTGAGCGTCATCCTATGTACCAGGAGGTCGCCAGTTCAATTCCTGGTCAGGGCACATGCCCAGGTTTCAGGGCAATCCCCAATGTGGGGTGTGCAGGAGGCAGCTGATCAGTGTTCTCTCTCACTGATGTTTCTATCTCTCTCTCTCCCTCACCCTTTCTCTCTTTCTAAAATCAATAAAGACCCCAAAAATTTTTTTTTAAAAAGGCTACATCTCCTCAGCAATTAGACAGTTGGCTTCTGGGGGGCAGAGACTGAAGTACCAGACTGCTTTGCTCCCCAGTGTATCTCCAGCATGTTGCACAGGGCCTGGCACACAGTAGTTACTTAATAAATCAGCACTGACACTAACTGAATGAATGGGTAAAAATAATTCCTTGAGATAGATTCTTGAAGTGGCATTTCTGGGTCAAATGGTATGCTTTTTTTTTTCTTTATTGATTTTAGAGAGAGAGAGAGGAAAGGAGAGGGAGAGAGAGATAGAAACATCCATAAGAGAGAACATTGATTGTCTGCCTCCTGCAGGCCCCCCACTAGGGATTGGGCCCACAACCTGGGCATGTGCCCTGACTGGGAATCAAATGACGACCTCTTGGTGCATGGGTCGACACTCAACCACTGAGCCACACCGGCCAAGCAGTATGCATTTTTTTTGTTTGTTTATAGCTTCTAAGGGCATATTTTAGTGGTACTGAAAGGGGGCTGACCCTCCACTGGACCTGATAAGATGAAGGAGCCCTGACCAGTTTGGCTCAAAAGTTAGAGCATTGGTCCTCAACCAAAGGGGTTGCGGGTTTGATCCAGTCAAGGGCACATGCCTGGGTTGCAGGTTTCCCCAGCTCCAGCTAGGGTCATGCAGGAGGCAACCAATCAATGTGTCTCTCTAACATCGATGTTTCTCTCTCCCCATCCCGCCCTTCCATTCTATAAAAAAAAAAAATCAGTGGAAAAATATCCTTGTGTGAGGATTAACAACAACGAAGATAAAGAAGGAGCTGAGCAAGACACAGGGGCCCAGGAGGAGGGTCTGCTAAGCAAAGGAGATGGGACAGAGAGGGCATCTCTAAATGTTTCCAGAAACATCAGCAGATGTGATTCTCTGAGCACCTACTTCAAGCAGGCACTGTACAACCATTTGTTCACTTAATTCTCCCTACAAGCAGGCAAAACAAACATTATCA